ATAAACAAAAATGACTGATTTTCGTTCTACTGTGTCAGGAACACAACCATGCACTAGACAGGAGCAGTGTCAAAGCTTCTGTGCTCTTCTGTGACCCCCTCTTGAATCTACAGGAACTACAGAATCGCAGCCAGAAACTGGCCATATTTCCTGACAATGATGTATAGCCCCAATCTGCATGCGGCATTAATATTTCAATTCAGTCTAGCATCTGCGTTTGTTGCCATTTTTTGGTCAAAGAGTTGCTAACAATTGCAACAAAAATGGCAAAAGTTGCTATCCGACGATTTGCCGTTTTAACCCTAAACGTGTGTATTTCACGAAAAAGTAGGCCTACAGGATATTACATGTAAATTCTGGAATCACACACAAGGAGCCTTCCAGTGTCGGTGTTTGGTTTTGGTGGACACATGCTTTAACATACATGTAACACATTTACGAGGGGGTGTCAAAAAGTAATGCAAGTCGTTCGCTATTTTTCGCCGTATTGCATCAAATTATGATAAAATAATATGAAATTCAGCTCACAAGTACTTGCACATGTACTTTTGAACTCAAACTGTTAGAGTTGAGGTTTCTTTGATGACGTCACATTAAAATGGCAGCCCTCCTTGGAGGCAAATAGCTGTGATTGAATTTCTTGTTTTAGAAGGAGAATCCACCTATACTATAACATCCGAAAGAGACTTTAAAATGTTTACAAGGACCAAGCTCTATGTTTTGGGACTGTATATCGGTGGGTTAGACGTTTGAGCAATGAACCGGAAGAAGAGGAAGAGGAGTCCATGTGCATTTCAGACAAGCTTCATCCCGAAAAATCATCCGGAAAAATCATGACAGCCGTGTTTTGGGACGTTCATAGTGTATTTCTCACATATTTTTTTACGATGAAGAACTGTTAATTCTGAATCCTACATTGACACACTGAAACTACTGAAAGTGAAAGTGGGAATTTGACGAGTCAGACCAAATTTGAACATGAAAAGAGTGGAGTGTGGGGGGGGGGGGGTGTCACCATGACAATGCCCACCATCATACGAGTACCAGAACAAAGGTGACAATCACCCCGTTTGGAGGGAAAACACTGCCAGAACCAACTTATTCTCCTGATTTGGAACCTTCGGACTTCCACATTTTGGTCATAGAAAAGAACAATTGAGAGGTGAACACTATGGAAACGATAGAGAAATCAAGACTGCTGTACCTCTAAGACCAACCTGCTCAGTTTTACGAAGCATATGTGAACTTAGTAAAATGTGGACAGTGGCTATTGAACAAAGTGGAGACTATGTTGAGAAATAGAAATCTGATCCTTAGATGTTCCCCTTCAATTTGAGATATGATAGTTGCCAGTGCGTTCTTTTTTCTTTAAGTTATGAACGAACTTGCATTACTTTTTGACTCTCCCTCGTATATTAAAAAAAAAGGTAGGAAAGCATTAAATGAAATGACATTACCCTATATAAACGCAAAAAATAGAAGAAGAAAAAACAACACATCAGAACAATAAATTAAAAAATTGACACACCAACAAATTAAAACACAACAAAGAGGGAAAATTTAAAGACAAACAGCTATATAAATAGTATGTAATGTACTTATATTCTCCACGTGAAAATAACTACACATGGACACCTTAAAATTATCAAAATACATGTCCAATATATTATAAAGTAGTGGTGGGTTGGGTTTTTTTCGCAACGCTGGACAACGGAACTGACTGTGAAATAATTTACCCGGGATCATATAGGTAGACAGGATCACAAATGTGGAAGTATTAGAGAGAACAAGACAGATCCCAATAGGAGATGAACAGGGAAGTGGGAAGAGGATGGTGGCGATTGATCCGACAGACATACCATTAGGAAGCTGATTAAACAAAGACATTGTTGGCCTGGAATCCACGGAGGAAGAGATCAAGTTAAAGACCTCAAGGAACCTAGAGAAAAGTCACAGTTGACGATTACAGAAAAGTGGAATAGCATGGAATTACGTTAAGGAATTAACCCAAGAAAGGAAACACTGTAAAGTATATAATTTATCCTTGTCCTGTCTACCACACTACCGTGACACAGAGGGAGAAAGGCAATGGCGACCTATTTGCCAAATTGTGAATCAACGAAGGCTGCAGTTCAAAATCCCAAATCATAATGCCAAACAATCCACCTGTCCAGTGCATCAACGAATGCTATTACAGTAAAAAATCCCCAATCAAACTTAAAGCCTATTTCCTAATTCTTAAAACATAGGAGGAAAAACCACCACATTTTGTACGTTAACATTTTTTTTTCATTACCCCAAATTTCCCTATCACTCCGTTCTCGTTTACTTTTTTGGAATAAATTCTCCATGCAATATAAAAAAAGACAGTCAGTTTGATTATAAAATAGAAAAATATATTGCTGTATATTGTAGACTGTAAATGATAAAGCGATGCTGGGTGCCAGCTGAACTGGGTCGTCGTTTTCAGAGTGTTTTTTTTCTCCAAAATAAGGATAATTATATGGTGATTTTTATTAAAGGAACAGGATAATTTGAAGTCAACCATGTCAAAATCACATTGCCTGCAATCTCAAATGCCTTTAGTTTTAGTAAGAGTTTTACGGCACTTGTAACACAATAAGATCGTATAAGTGCCAAAGGTTAGACGTGTTACAAGAGAGTAATAATTAACGAACAAACACAAAGAGGAGGACAGATGTCGGAAGATAGATGTTTGATAGGAGGAAGAAGGAGCAATTTAAACCACACCAAAGCACCCACTGTTCGACAGTGTGCATAGAGAAAGTCTTTAGTGCATTCTACGATCTTATGGAATCCCTTGTAAGATAGATGAGGTCGTCAAGAGCTACTACCAAAACTTCAAGTGCGTCGTTGGAAACAGTACTACTGCTTTTGAGATGAAGACAGGAGTTAAAAAGGGATGCAACATGTCAGCAATTCTGTCCAACCTTGCTATTGACTGGGTCATGAGGAAAACTCCAGAGGATATATCAAGAGGCATATGGTGGACCCTCTTCGTCACCCTTGAGGATCTTGATTTTGCCGACGGCCTTGCACTACTCTCCCATACCAACTAGCACATGCAGGAAACAAAAACCCGACTCCACAAAATACGGACGCCAGATTAGGTTAAGAATGAGTCAGAAAAAGACAGAAGTGATGACACTGAATGTAGGCTCCCCAACGCTGATTAGGGTGAACAACGTAGACCTGCATATAACAGACAGATTATTTACCTACCTGGGCAGCACATTAATTAAAACTGAGGGCGGCACAAAGAAAGACATCATGAACAGACTCGGCAAACCAAGATCTGTACACATAAACATGATCAGCATCTGGAAGTCTGGACAGTTCAGTGCATGTATACAGACCAAGTTAAAGCTGTATAACAGCTGTGTACTATCCACGCTCCTATATGGATCAGAATGCTGGTGGATGACTGATCATGAACGTGCCAAGCTTTCTTCTTTTCATACAACCAGCTTACGCCAAATCCTCCGAATCTTCTGGCCCGACAATATTTCTAAAGCAGATCTTTTACGGAAATGTAGGCTAGAGGACATGGCCACCATAATAAAAGGAGAAGATGGAGATGGATTGGACATGTTCTGAGAAGAGAACCAGACTCTATTGCAAAGACTGACATCCACTGGACACCCGAAGGGCATCGCAAGAGGGGCAGGTCCAAAGTGACCCGGGGACGCACAGTAGAGTCTGAAATGAAGTCCTGGAACCATTCGTTGGGGACATTGACCAAGATGGCCCAAAACAGACAGAGCTGGAGATCCTTTGTTGCTGCCCTAAACGCCAGATGGCGACGGCGTAACGGGTAGTAAGTAAGTAAGTAAGAGCACCCACTAACCACCTACTCATAAATCTTATTGTCTGCTGAATATGCGTTCTGTTTCTAGGTACATCGGGATATACATTAGATTTCTATATTGTGAGAAGTTTGAAATAAAAATACCTTGGTCATATAAAACGTCACCAGACCAGTATGAAGGAAATACTCGAAGGCAATGTGGGCCGATAAAAATCAAGCCTTGGACTGGCCTGAGATGCTCGAGTGTCCATGTAGGTTATCGGTCTTATATATTAATAATGCAGCGACATCTGAAGATTGTAACACCGTTCTTATTCTGTTCGTTTAAATTACTCGTTTCGTTTTCTAAATTGTTGTTCTTGTCGTGATTGTTATTGTTTTTATTGATGATCTGTTTACTTAAGAAAAAGTTAAACAACACTTGCAATACAAAATCAATAGTTCATGTAAGTGCCGGAAATTAGAGGTGTTGCGAAAGAGTAAAATACAAAGAAAAGAAGATGGAAAGCGATAGGAACAATATAAGTTTAACAAGAATTTAAAAGTTAAGCACAAATTGGATTTTTTTTCAACCCTACGTAAAAGCTCCTTTAGAAAAGCCACGAAAATAATCGAGCCTTGATCGAGCACTGCCCATATAATACATATATAAATATATTTTATGTATAAAATTATTTTATTATAAATTCTGTGAAAAAAGCATGCCTCCAAAGCAATACTGGTAGTCAATTTGTAAACAATGATAAATAATATTTTCATTCCACCTACCAGCGGCTACTTCCGGCTCCTCCCAAAAGTACCACAATTTTCTCCCCGTGATGTGTATTTACTGATACTGTAAATCTTTGGTGTACAGGTACAAAGATGAATCATGCCAAATAGCGTCTCTCAACAAAATTTTAACAAAAGGAGCTGCCATTTGAGGGCGGTGACGCATAATGCAGCAGACCCCAAAGTCACCGTTAGTGTTATGTGCTAAGTATGTCATTTTTTCTTATAAAATATAGTGGTCGATAGACGCTATTGGAACCAAAGCGGGATGCAAGTTTAACTGGGATCAATATTTCTATGTATTTCCTCCAGTTGGCCAGCTGGCCTTGTTTACAAGCTGCAGAAGCTCTCGTACGCGGAGAGGTAGAAAAAACGGCACACTCAGGTAAACGTAAACATTCAACACAAGAGTGACTGAAAACCACAGAATTGTGTAGAATTCTGTGCTGAAAACACTATCTGGGACTGGGAGTGAGAGGGCGGAGAAAAAAGGAACACAGTAGGCAGTAGCCTATCTAGATCTAATGTGTTCCGTGCGGTGAACGAAACGAAGGATTATAACAGTCGTCGGTAACACCCCCTTGTTTTGTTTTTTTCATTTGCTGTCAGCAGGTTCGATTCAAATGTAAGAGCAAGAGATAAGATTCTACGCCAAAAACTTGAGAGTACAGAGTACAGTGTACAACTCGGTAAATTCTCCTCAGCTCTCCAGCCCTGGCCCAGGACTGAGAAAACAACCACACTACCAATCAATAATAATATGATTGTCTGTGATAACTTAAAAAGGAAAATGGCATGCTTTTTAAGATTCATCACCCTATGGCAATCCAGTGAGATGTGTATATTTTGCACAGATAGCACTTCACTAGGCCAGCGGTATTGATTGGGTGAGATCAAGGGTTGTTTGCCCGGTCAACATCAACAGTCAACAAGCAAGCAAAGTCAAAGAAAAAACTTCACACTCACACATCTCAGATCTATCCTAGAGCTGCTCTGCTGATAATGATCATACATCAGTTTTGCTTGTCCATTGCCACCAGTTCTGGTGCTTTTTCGGTAGTTCCCACAACCCATATATATATATATATATATCTGAGCCTGACCTACATCTAGAATCTAGAAATCTAGATCTATACACACACGTTTGATTCGCGGCGAGCTACTAAGATATCAAACCTAACAACTGCAAAACATTAAATTGTGGTAAAATTCAGGGGGGCATGCCCCCCTGAAACCCCCCACCTATTTATATTAGGGGCCTAAACCCGTGAATAATAACAATTGAGGGGTGGGAAAACTACCGAAAAAGCGCCCCAGTTCTTGCATCTCATAGGATGCTGTTTGACCTGTTGAAACAGAAACAAGATCTAGATTTAGATCTAGACTTCTAGATCTAGATTCTTGATAATTTAAATTAATGAATTAGTGACGGTCCACTTGATTTGATGGTCTGCCGTCTATTATCGTGATGTTTCTAACTACAGTATAACACACCACTGCACCAGTATGACAACTGTACCTCTTGAAAAAAAATTTGGATAATTCAGTTTTGGCCCGAACAGTGGTTCCACCAAGGGCATTAAATGCACTATAATTATCTAATTGCGGAAAACATCAAATTATGGTTAAATAAGGGTGCCCCTCTGATTCCTCCCCCCCCACCATATTTTTATTAGGTCAGGGGGTATGCTCCCTTGAAACCCCCCCTTGTCGTTAGAAACACACTGCTCATTTTGTACTAATATTTTTATAGCAGACAGCGTCGCCTCCAACTCTCTTCCACTTGCACTTCACCATTTCGGCTTTGGCCCCAATTTTTATCGATGATCTGCTTTGCGGCGAAAGAACTGCAAACGGCGCATCTCTCGCACTCTTTCAGATAAAACATCATTACATAGTGTATTAAAGTCAGTGTCGATATATAATATATATATATATCAGTACTCGCGGGCCAAAACCAGAGATTTCCACATAAAGTGATAAAAACTACCACACGACAGAGGTGGGAAAATGATCAGTTTTTTCAATCATTTTGATGAGGGCCTGATTTCACCATGATGCCACACATTATATCATGAGGCATTGTGGTGAAATCAGGCGCTCATCAAAATATCGAAGAAAAGGCAATTTTTACCAAATTTTTGTTTTTTGACACAAACACCTTTCATGCTAATAAAAACACAATTCCGTATGAATTTTAATGAAAAGGGTTGATTAATGGCCTCCTTTAAATGCAAATATTTTAAACTTTTTTTCAAGATAAATGGGTGTTTTTTTTTCATAGAAAGCAAGGCAAATTAATTTATAAGCTTTCACATGATGGTCAATAACTCCGCATGCCTAAAAATTTACGAGCGCTTGATTCCAGGACGTTGGGACACATACAGGATTTGGAAATGAATAGGGTTTTAATTTTTTCCTCTATCGTGTGCTAATTATAGAAAAAAGGGGAGTATTTGAATGTCTTGACAACAGTTGCTAATATTTTTATGTTTGTTTTTTCAGGTTGTGAAAGTGAAGATGGCAGCTTCTGCTATGTACCCAGTTTCCAATGACCCAACAAATAAAGCAGTGCCTTCCCAACTGCAAAGGAAGATTTTGCAAGATGTTTTTGGTAAGCTTTTATGTAAAACTTACAAATTTTGGAAGTTTGCTCACTATGGATTCGTACAGTTCACATACTGTCAATGAGTTATGATGTTGAGAGACTGCACTGTTTTGGGACTGCTTTATAATTTTGTAAATTTTACCTGTTTAACTGGTGGATTATTGGCAGATCACTATGCTCTGGTGTTCTTTGCGCATTCTTTTTTATCAAACATCAATCGTCCCTATCTCTCCTCCTTCGTTTTTGTTTGTTACTCTCTTGTAACACCTCTTATCTTCTGCTCTTATATATGACCTTAATGTGTTGCAAGTGTGGTGAAACTCTTACTGAAACAAAACTCATTAGGTGAAAGTAGGGAAGGATGAGAATGGAGGATTGATGAAAGGTTGGTTCTCGAAAATGGGAAATTCAAGCCAGAAGGAACACTTCTCACTACAGTCTCGCTTGCAGTGTTTTTTTTGTCAAACAGATATAGTTTGCTTGAAGTTGAAGTTTACAAGACTAATCTATTATCTATTTGTGGTGGCTGAATTTTGCTATTTAAAAGGCTTTTTAATGGCTGCATCGATCGACATGCGGTTTTCGCCAAAAGATTCTTTAAAAAATTTTCCAGAGCATGACGCCGTTGTTTTTTTTCCATTTTGAGACAGTTTTGCTGTAAAAAGCTAATTTCTTTATTTCGCCTATTGCTTTTGTAGGCCGACGCTTCGATCTCGGTAATTTTAGAAAATCGGGAAGTTATATTTCATGAGGCGCACTTTGTTTTGAGAGTATAGATGTAGACCTTATAATTTTTTGCATCTCTCAAGATTTATTGCCCCATTTCAGTAGAGTGTAAATATAGTGGGCCAATGACTTTTAGTTGATATTAAAGCACTTATTTCATTCCTTTCATCGAAAGGGGGCCCAGCTAGTTACAGTCTAAAGCTGTTGAAGGGTTCAGCCAGTCACTTAAAGGTCTACTTCAGAACTCCATTTCGAACTTCCAGAGTCTCGACTGACTGTGGGGCCAAAATGGGGTAGTCATGATGTCACGTGCAATTTTCTAGACAATTTTAACTTATGTTATGAACAATAGGGGGCACACTAAAATAGACCTTTACCTTAAATTTCCACCTCTCTTGCTCCCACCTGTAGCACAACTCATTCTTATCCTTTTTCTTTTTCTCTCAGCAAATCTCCCACGGTGGTCTGTGTCCCTGCCATACCATTCTAAAACCTGTAATTGATTGATTATGCCAAGCTTGATGAAATGCAATTTTTTTAATGCTGTCTACTTTTGATTGGATAGGAATAAGCTACAGATCACATTTCAGTGTGCTACATTTGGGACCGCAACTGGGATGCACCCTTATTCTATGCCAACCTATGATGTACTTCATTCAGTTGCTAAGTTGATAGCAAAATGTAATGTTTTCATCTTCTGAAACTGACCCTTCTCTGTAATTCACCTTGAATAATGTTTCAGACCCAGCACGAAAACAAAATTTTGCGTTGTAAACGGATTATTTTCTGAAATGTACTTGATGTTAACTGTTGAATGATTTACTTTCTGTAGAGTGCATCGTACAGCTGAAGAGTGAGTTCTTTGAACATCACCAACCTATCACAGATGACAGTGTGGTCCTTCAAAGATTTTGTGCAAAATTTGAACATCTTTTGCAAATTGGCATGCGAGGTGAGTGAGATAATAATCTATATTCAAGATATAATTAAAGATTCCTTTGCACATTTTAATTTTTCTGAGTGTATGTGTTGTATTTGTGCATGTATCAGAAAAAAAATAAGAGATATAGAAAGAAATTAGAGAAGAAGGAATATTAAAAGATTTGATCTTTTACTTAATACTGTTGCAACATCTCAAATCAATAACTACATTCTCTTTGATCTGAGGTGGCTTGAGTGTGTGGGAAAAGTGCATCACCTTGTATGTCATTTAGCGCTTCTTTTTTTGTAATTTGGTGTTCTCAATCTGCCTCTGTGTATCTCTCTGAAAGTTCAGAGGTCACCACCTTACGGAGAGTAAAATAAGAATGTCTTCCTGCTGCAGCCCCATTACCCTTGATGGTGGTAGCATTATCGAGTGAACCCCAGTAGGAGGTCAAATAAATTGGAAAACGAAATGGCTGTTCTCAAAAGGTGGTTGCTGAAATAGCAAATGACCTTACAGTGAATTTTTGTTGCTGTTGTTTTTGTTGTCTTTGACCCAATTAGTTATGCAGAGAAAGTTTGTTCAATATAACCATAAACCCAATTTCATCTTTCAATGTCTGATTTTGCAATGATATTGTGAAAAGAAACAGGACAGGCATAAATGCTTGCTAGATCTACATGAAAATATTAATTCCATAAATGAGTTTTTTTTCAGAAGATGATGGAATGTTCTTTGTTCTCAGAGCGCACAAGCATCATGGGAAGGCGCAAAGATTACTGGGATTATTTCTGCCAATGTTTAGGTTCTGCTCGTGGCTCTAACGATGGTATCAAGTATGTGAAGTCTTTGGGAGAGGTTAGTTTGACATTGTCAGTCAGTCTGTATACTTTTTCCCCCACCACTTCAAGACATATATTAATGCCATGTCTGACTCACTTATAAATTTATTTTTTCTTTGATACTAAAAGGTCTTCCCCTTTGTTGGAGGTCCCATTCCGTGTTCATGTGTAAAATGTATGTCCATGAGTCCATGCTTAAGATAAAACATCATAAAGCTTTAGAGATCATTTCATATCTGTTTCGTGATGCATGCAAGTTCACTTACAATTGGAGTATAATTCTGTGGTAGGGTCTTTATTGCTGTTCACATTGGGTATAGAAAGTATGCTTGCAATTGCTGTTTAATTATGAGGGACACAGTTTCTGAGCATCATGGTAGGGGTACAAAGTTTGGGCCTGCCGTTGACATGTCTTGTGTTGTGAAATATTGCCAAGTGGTGCATGCTTGTGTTTGTGTGTGCATGTGCGTGTGTGCATGTGTGTGTGTGCATGTGTGTGTGTGTGCATGTGTGTGTGTGCTTGTATGTCTGATGTATGTGTGTGAGCGTTTGCATGCATGCAGGCTTGTATGTATGTGTGTATCGTGTGTCTGGGTGCGCGTGAGAAAGGGAAGGGGGTGGAGGGGGGTGGGACTTTTTCTGAGCTCAGTGGGAGCTTTCTAGCTTTATATTTTGGCTGACATTTCTCAAAATGGTCAAGGGTGATGCCGAGAACATAGTGAAAGCTAAGGACATCAGCAAGAGTTGGGGGAGAGCAGGAAATTGTCGTTTGTACTGATGGTTGTATTAGACAGGTGGTCTTTGGAGCAAGTTCGACTGAACTGAAACAATTACTGACAAGTACTCTCTCTAACGTCCTCAGAACAAGACATCCCTTGGTCGTGGCAGGGCCTTTATCAGATTCTGCCTGGTTCATCAGAGACTGGCAGACACACTACAGCAGTGTGCTGTTCATGACAAAACCAAGTGAGTCGCATCAAAAGAGTTCTCTTGTAACGAAAGCAAAGACTATATTTGTACTTTGTGTCATCAGTATTATTTCATGAGGACCAGACATCGATTGATTAGAACAAAAGCCTGTTGTGTTGAAAAAAGGAATTTTTCTTATATCATGAAAATGTAAAGAACCAAAAGTTTTAAAGGATAATGAAAGGCATAAAAGGCATAAAATGTCCGAATCTCTTTTTAAAGTCTTTTTGTTTTAAAATTTGAAATGGAAGTAAAGCACAAATCATTAGAGTTATACAGTTGTAGCCAATGCAATATGTACCCACATTTCTCTGCCCTTTTACCTTTCAAACCTGCCAAAGTTTGGTGACTATCAAAACTTGTGTTTCTTTAGAAACCGAGTTTTTGAGTCAATGTTTTTCTGTAAAATTCACCTAGACATGCATTTTTTAGTGGACATAAAGGTGTTGAGCCCAAACAAAAAAAATTTCGATCAAAATTGAACGAGCAGGAAAATGCAGGTTTCTTTGAATTCATGATTTTGACATGTGCCATAATTACACCAGAACGTCACTCTGGGGGATTTTTTTTTTCAATGAAGGGAACATACCTGACTGTGATACTGTCCATGAGACTGTGAAGGATACAGATCCTACGCTTAACCAAAAAGTGCTGACATTTCATAGCTAAGATAACATAAATCTTTATTTTCCAGTTGCTGGCACATTAGTTTGGTGTTTCACTCTCACATATACACATACGCATGTGCCCATGCAAACCCATACACACATACTCTTTCACGCATCGTCTGTTCCACAAACATATTCACATAACAGTGTGTAAACCAAATGATTCCTGTTGATTTGGCTTAGTTCTTACTGAGGTTGAGCAAGCAGGTGATTGGAAGGTACTAAAAAAGCTTTTATTTTGTTTATGTGCTTCTTTTTACTCAAGCAATAGAACAACTTTTGCAAAATACTTATTTGTGGGTGCTCTGGTGTGTTTGCTCCTTCTTTCCTATCAAACATCTGTCATCCTTATCACTCCTCCTTCTTTTTTTGTGTATGTTACTCTCTTGTAACACATCTATTCTTTGGCACTTATCTGACCTTATTGTGTTGCAAGTGCCGTAAAACGCTTATGAAAATACTTATTTTGTACTAAAAAGTATACATATCGACATGTCAGCATAGAACTTCGTCATTTTTCACTTTTTAAAATGACAAGTTGTTTTTGCATTTCAGGGATTGGTTTCTACCTTCCAGTGCTCTAATGAGCCCAAAAGATTCTCAGAGTCTCATCAGCTCCCTGTACGACCTCAACTCCTTACACTTTGACCTGGCTCCTCGAGGCTATGACCTTGACACTTCATGGCCGTCGTTTGCGAAGTATGACCATTTTTCTTGTGCCGTAATGTAATAATGTTAAAACTCTTGTCAAAGAATTTAGAAATTTACTGATTCAAATATGCTGTACAATGCCACACACTTGTGTATAAAATTCATACATTTTTTTATCAATCCATTCTTCAAACGAAGATAACTTTTTTGAACGGGCTAACATATTTTAGGCTGTGCTCCTTTTTTCCCCCTATTTTTTTACTTCTTTACCCATTGGCTCTCTGAGGTGAGTGGTAGGTAATATCCAGTCTCCCCAAATGATCACTTTAGCTACATTTTAAACTTTGTTTGTTGAACAGTTTCGTGACAAAACTCGATAAGCACCACTTTCGAAGTTTTGCCGAAACTAGTAGAGTCCTATCTAGAAAGGTGAGGCACATTCCAGTGTCAGCTTTATTTTTTATAAAACACAAATTTCCTTCATCAAAGAACAGCAGAAAGTTGCACTTTTTTTTTACAACACAACACAAGTGTTAGATCTTTTTAAACACGTGGGTGGTTGGCGGGTGCTCTGGTGTGGTTTGCTTCTCCTTTCCTATCAAACATCTATCGTCCTTTTCTCCCCTTCTTCTTTTTTATGTTTGCTACTCTCTTGTAACACCTCTAATCTTCTGGTGCTCCTGTGACCTTATGCAGTTGCGAGCGCCGTAAAACCTCTAATAAAACTTTAAAAAACTTTTTTGACAAACAGTGACATATCCTCTGCACATCAATAAATTTCTGTCCTGGAGTCACTTGGGTTTCTTTTGTGGTGGATGAAAATTTGTTTGCCGTTCTTTCCCTTCCTTATAGAATTAATGTGGATACATCGCGTTTTGTCCAAAATGTGTGGAGATCTCATCAAGAATCCAACATAAATTTCATAAACAAGCCAATATCAACTACGTCTTACATCATGTTTACTCTAAAAGTAAAGTTGCTCAAGATTATTCAGTAAATGGGTGAAGAATAGAAATCTTCTGTCTTTTCAAAACAGGAAAAATGGATATGTCTCATTTTGTCGCAAAACTGTGTATTTGTTGTTGAATTAAGATCCCCCAAGATCTGGGATATATGACAACAAACATAGGTGTGTAGATGTAATGATGAAACAGCTTGTCATCTTGGCTCAAAGTACCAATGCACTGTCACTGTGTATGATTTTCATTGAGTTGCTGAAGGTATGAGTGTAGGATTTTGTACACCAGTAGAAAGAATGTTCTGGTTTTTCATGGCTTTTTTTTTTACATTTCTTTTATTACAGCAAGTCCGGATCAGGATCTTCATGGGCTGTGCCTATCAGTCGAAGGTCTAGCATTACCAGCATGGTTAGTTTATGTGTGTGTCTGTGTTTCTGTATGTGTGTGTGTGTGTGTGTGTGTGTGTTTCTGTATGTGTGTGTGTGTGTGTGTGTGTGTGTTTCTGTTTGTGTGTGTGTGTTATGCTTTATTTGAGTACTGTTTTGTTGATATAGTGAATAAAGAGTTTGTGACTTTTATTCATCATTATTAGATAGTCTCTCCTTTGTGTATTTTTGTTATTGTTGTTCAAGATTATGGTTATGAAAAGGACTTATTATTACGCTTGGTTTTGCTTTTTTCCTTTTTCTTGTTGGACCCGGTCGTTGTCGGAGAAGCAGGTGATTTCCACTGCCCACCAAAATTACCAAATGGCCCACTAGTGGGCAATATCACCCAGGTTCCCAGGCATTGGTCTAAATTATTGGTGGAGGTTTGAAATACCCACATTTAAAAATAAGTGGTAATTTTTTTGTCTTTGTGAAATGTCTTGTCTGTATTTTAACTGTGAGGATGAGCATGGGGTTGGGAAGGTTGGGGATACATGCTACATGCAGGAAAGAATGAACAAAAAAGCACCTTGTTTGACGTTGCTGCTTATGCTATACATCATTTTATAAAGTTGAGCAGCAAATCCTGAAAAATGCAAGTTTGTTAAGATGGACTATCAGAGTTGTTCAGTTTTCTTTAATTTCTTTCTTTTGCTTCTGGTACCTCTTAGTTCCTTCCAGCTGCACGTCTTAGAATGAGAAATATCCTGTATGAAATTAAAATATTATCTGCAAGATATATGTCTTGCTGACGAAAATAATATCACGCTTTAGATTGATGTGCATGATAAAAGGTGACTGGCAGCATCTTTGATTGTGATGTGGCAAAAAAGTGGATACATATATCAGGTTTTTACCCTCTTATTCTTTAGGGACCAAGCTGAATAAATAACATGGGTTTTTGGAGATGAGATACCAGCTAATAAAGTAAAGCTTTTCGCTCTTCTATCAGTTGACTCGTATCCTGCGTGGACAATGTGATAGTGAGCTCTATCTCAAGAAAATTGTAAATATAGATCAGGTCAATCACCTTGGGAATCCCAGATGCTTGTTTAATTATGGTAGACATACATTGATCACCTTTTGTTGTCTTGTTTATCTCTCCCTTCCTCATGCGTGGTTGGAGGACACCACTGGTAGGTCCTACTTTTCTTTCCCGCTCCTGCTTCTCACTGTCTATTTTGCTTTTTCCTTGTTTTAAATGATGACCTGTCGATGTGCTTTTCTTTATATTAAAAAAAGAAATGAACTTATCTCTCTTCCTCTCACTCCAGGTGTCGATGTTTGTGTGAGTGTATGTGTGTGTGCATGCTTGCGCTTGCGCTCGCATGTGTGTGTGGGTGTATGTGTGTGTGTGGGTGCGTGTGGATGTGTGGGTGGGTGTGTGTGGGTCTGGATGTGTGTGGGTGTGTGGATTGATACATGTATGAGTGAGTGCTTGTGCCTCTGCTCCCTTATATTCTAATAGTTATAGTAATCAGATCGTTTGTTCTGTAGCACCCACTCTTTTGCTCTAAATGTCTTATAATACCTTCATCTTAACATTATTATGCTAAACATTATGTATGTGATCATTCATACACATGCACACTAAACCCCCCCCACACACACACACACACATACATACACACCCCACACATACACCTACACTCAAATTCCTACTTTTTTTTTCGTCCCTCTTCATTTTATGTTTGTACGAGTGATTGTCTTGGACTGGTGGTTGTTAGAGCAGGTTCAAACGTACTTTGACTTTGGAAAAACGTTTCAACCTGACAAAAGTTAATTTCATCAACGTGTTCTTTCTGTTGTATTGTGTCAGCCATTCTTTTACATGCGTGTGGTTGACGGGTGCTCTAGTGTGCTTTGCTCCGTCTTTCCTATCAAACATCTATAATTGTCCTTATCTCTCCTCTTTCATTTTTATGTTTGTTACTTTCTTGTAACGACACTTATCTTCAGCACTTGTATGACCTTATTGTGTTGCAAGTGCCGTATAAGTCTTATTAAAACTAAAGTACATGCATGTTTTGACCTCAGTAGGCGATGACTTATAAAAAACCCATTTTTCTCTAATTTCTGTTTCTATTTAAGGACACGATCAGCCAGATCAGTGTTTCTGTGGAGCAGACCGGCGAGACAGAACGTCTGAACCGCGACCTAGAATCGGTCCAGGCCGTCCGAGATGACCTCATCGTCCAGGTGAACAAGCTGAGTGAGGAGAAAGAGAAGGCTGGCCAGTCGGCCTGGGCCGCCCAGGGAGAGCTGCAGGCCTTGCAGCAACAGCTGTCTACCGTACAATGCCAGCACTCAGAACTTCAGGAGAGATATAAAGAGTTGGACGTAAGGTGTGTAGTTCGATGGGAGTGTGTGCTTGTACGTGCCAGTACAGCGCATCATAGTTAAAGTAATTGAAGATATTTTACATCCCCATCGACACAATTTAGATCATTTAGGAGAAGAGCTGGTTTAACCCAGCCTATTAGGGCCATCCAGGCTGTGAAGGATAAAATGTCCCAGCAGACAGACAGAGACACTCATCAGAAATTCTACTCGCTCAAGAACTGAACTCACTTCTTTTGCATGAAACTGTATGCTTCCCAGAAAGTTGAAATTGTTCAGAATACTTTCAGTTCTGCTGGTATAATGATATAGATTGTGAAGTGCAGAGAGCTTGTTGTTTTTATAGACTTCTTGCTGTACCAATACTACCATATAACTATGGCTCTCTCTCTCTCTCTCTCTCTCTCTCTCTTTCCCTCTCTCTTTCTTTCTCTCTCTCTCTCTCCCCCACCCTCTCTTTGATTTCTTTTATTGACACATAACAACAACTTTGGTGCAGATGTGAGCAAATTTCAAATTTTGGTTCACCCACGGCCACTGGATACCTTACAATTGTATTCAGATATTTTAAACATTCTCCTAGTAATAACTCTTTACGCCAGGAGCTTCGTTAAACTGACAGTTTTCCTCCAGTATTTTTGCAAAGTCCAGATGCATGCATATTTGCGTACAGTCCCGTAACACCACGCTTTAGTGCAGGTAGGACGTACGGTCCCCTTGCGCCAAACACTATGGGGGCGTACGGTCCCCTAGCGCCAAGCGCTATTGGAGCGTATGGTCCCCTAACATCAGCCTATAACTATTTCTTCTTTCATTTGAATAATTTTAGTTTAGTTTTAGCACAGGTTTTACGGCCCTCGCAACTTAGTGTTTAATTATTTTATTCATCAGTGGTATTTTCTTCTAGTTTTTCTCGCTTATTCTAGCTTCCCCCAGGGTGGGACACATTATTATTATTATTATTTTGATGTTTCAGTTTTGTGAAGCTGAAGATGGAGAAAGAACACATGGAGAAAGTTCAGTCGGACCAGTTGAAGCTTCTGGAGGGCAGATGTCAGGAGGAGGAGGCAAAGAGAGTGAACTCCTTGAAAGAGGAGGAGGAGATCTGGAAGCAGGAAGTGAAAGACGAGAGCGACAGGAAGCAGAGGGAGATTGACAAACTTCAGGCAGATCTAGGTCAGCGAGAGGCGGATTGTGCAGGGTACAAAGAAGAGGTGGCACAAATACAAAATGCTGTGGTAGAAATGTTGACCCAGTTTGAGGTAAGGATTAGTGGTGACAGTTAAGTTCCTGACACTTCTCATTCATTCTCATCAATTCTTGACTTGTTTGATCCCTCAACGCTTATGATTTGTAGCAAAGAAAGATACAGAAGGTCATTTTTACCATCACCCATTCAACTCCTACCATCTTAATCATCTTGTAATATCTGTATTCCTTAAACCTTTAAAGCATGAATTGTGAGAATATCATCAGGTTACTATCAGAATGCGGATTATGTATTATTGTGACAATAATTAATTTTTCATTTATGTTTTGTGTGTGACTGTGAGTCTGTTTGTTAGTGCAAGCATACTATTAAGTGTGTGTGTGTGTGTGTACAGATGTGTGTAGAAGAGAGGATGTGAGAGGGAGAGTGTGTATGGGTGTGCGTTCGTGTGCATGTATATGTGTGTGTGCGTGTGCGTGTGTGCAACTGTGTGTGTGTAGTGAAATAACAAACCAGTGTGCCAGCATCAATAAAGATTTATCTTTATCTTTATCTTATCTTATTGTGCCTATGGGGACATATTTTTTTTCTTGTGTCTATGTTTCAGATCCCGCATTCTGGCACCACCTCAGAAGCCCATCTTTCAAGTTTGGCTGGATACATCAGAACCAGGAACGATCAGCTGTCAGCTTTGTCTGGTGATAAAACATCAGTACAGGTGAGTGTGATTGATGTGATAGTAATAATAATAATAATAACAGATAGCATTTGTATTGCGCAAATCCCTGCTCAACAGCGAGCTCTATATGCTTCATAATCTATACTATTACCCCAGCAAACCTGAGAGCCTTCTGAAACAACCTCAACTTCCTGAGAAGCATACAGCGCAAGCAGCCATTCATAGGCGCTAAAACACTAACATACTGACAAGATCTTTCGCTGTCTGTGGTCGGGTACCAATTCTCACCAGCGTGAAGTGAGGAGAATTAATGTAAAGTGCCTCCTTTCCCAAGGACACAACGTCGGGTCCGTGGCTCGAACCCCCGAACCCGCAACATCACGATTACTAGTCCAGTAGCCTAACCACTAGGCCACTGATGCCACACAGAGCGATGTATCAGACAAAAATGAAGGTTTTTTTTGTTTTTGATTGGTTTGTTGTGCTTGTCTTTCGTGTGTCCCTTCTTGTGTCAAAGGCAGGATAACATAATCTACATATGATACGACATTTTTTAAAGTGGTATGTAAAGCTGCTTGAGCAACGCGTCGCCTGAGTACAGCAACCCTGTAACTCACACTATGTCAAAAAACACTTTTTTGCTTTTTTCTACTTAATGTAACGTAGAGGATTTTGCGTCAAAATCGACACCAGGGTCACATTTGTAGAATTTCTGTTGATGCCATATTCTTTAACTATAACGCGCTTTTAATTATTTCATACTTTTAAATTGTACAAACTTTACCTGTAAGCGTGATTTACCGATTTCCATAAGGCTTGAGTCCTAGAAGTAACTTATTTTGTCAGCACGATTCACATATATGTGGTTTTCCTATGTATGTGGGTGTATGTGTGTGTTTTTGAATATTATTATGTCTGTGTGTGTGTGTGTATGTGCGCGGTGAAACACGAAACCAATGTGCCAGTGTGTGGATGATAAAGATTAATGTTAACTCCTAATCTTTACTTGCTGACAGTTCGAGCCATAATTCGTTCTTTAATTTTAGGAATTTTCCCCTTCTCGGTTTTTATTGTTTTTTCGTGAGTGGTTAGCGGGTGCTATGGTGTGGTTTGCTCCTTCTTTCCTATAGAACATTCATCGTCCTTATCTCTCCTCTTTCTTTTTTGTGTTCCTTATTCTCTTGTAATACTTCTAATCTTTGCCACTTATATGACGCTTTTGTGTTTCACATGCCGTAAAATGCTCACTGAAACAAAAGCAAATAATCTCTCCTCCTTGCTTTTTGTGTTTGTTACTCTCTTGTAATGCCTCTAATCTTTGGCACTTATATGACTTAATTGTGTTGCAAGTACCTTGAAACGCTTACTACAACAAGACAATTTTTTGTTCTCTTTAGGAGTTCTACCAAAAAGAGTTATCGGATAAGAACAAAGAGATCGGCCAGCTAGAAGGGAGGATAGAGGAACTGAGGAACTTGGCACGGGTCTCCCAGGAATCTGCCTCTGGTCTGCAAGAACAACTGACAGCTGCTAGCCTCGAAGTTCATTCGGAGAGAGAGAAAGTTCAGAGATTGAATGAGAAAGAGCTGGAGTTGACCGCTGCTATGGAAGAGAGACAAAAACACATCGAAACGCTTCAGAGTGAATTGAAAGTTCAAAGAGATGATTGTGAAAAGCTGCGGGATTCAAAAATAGACTTGGAGAAGCAGAAATTAGAGCTTGAGCAACGATTTGGTGGCTTGGAAGCAAACATCGTAGAATTGAAAGGCCAGTCGGAACAGACAAGTAAAGAATTGATGAGCATGAATGAGAAGTGTCAGGAACAGGAAAAAGAGATCAACAAAATGAAAGGAGAAAAGGAAGTGGATATGATTGGTATAGAAACTAAGAATGAAGAAATTGACGATTTACAGCGAAGTCTTGAAGAAAAAGAGGCAATTGTTTCAGATTTGAAAGCCCAGCTCGAGAGTAGCTCGACCACTTGCAACAGTTTAAAGTCACAACTGCATGAAAAGTCCAAGGCTGTTGAGGAGATGACATCTCAGTTGACGGGTCAGGAGCAGTCGACTGACGGACTGAAGCGGCAGTTGGAAGACAATTTGAAACAGTCTGAAATTGCTATGAAGGAAAGAGAGAAGATGGTCGAGGAAGCTGAAGAAAAACTAGCAGCTGCACAAACTCAGCTAGATGAAGTAAATACCGGTGCTGAGAAGAAGCAAAGAGAAATCGTAGAGCTCAGTGACAAGTTGTCTAAGGCTGAGGCTGAGCTTGAGACAGTGAGGGCTAAGAATGGTGATTTAGAGGGTGCAGTGCTGTCTTTAGAGAAGGAAAAGGAGACTATGACGAGAGAGACTCAGGAGAAAGAAGAAGGGAGGAAGATTGTTGAGAGCGAGAGAGATGATGTTAAGGTTAAGTTATCGGCCTGTGAAGAGGAGGTGAATAACCTAACATCAAAAATAGAATGTTTCAAAGATGCTCAAGCTGCGAAAGATAATGAAATAGAAGAAATGAAGGTAAAAATGTCTGAGCTGCGAGCAGAGAGCGAGAAAGAGAAGGAGAGAATGTTGGGATTACTTCGAGATTCTGAGAATGTTCGACAGTCTGAAGGTGAAAAGTCTGAGAAGTTGAATGGTCTAATTGTTGCTATGGAAGAACTTCGGCAAAGCAAGGATGCTGAAGTGGCAGAAAAGCACGAACAGATTCTGTCATTACAGGACGCAGTATCTTCTAAAGATGGAGAGGTAAACTCTTTAAAAATGGAAGTAGGTCAGCTGAAGGTTGAAGTGGAGAGAGAAGTTTGTGAAAAGTCTAAACTTGTTTCTAGCCATAATGTGGAGAATGATGCTGCTCAAAAGAAAGAGAAAGAACAAGAGGAAAAATGGACAGAAGAACTGAGGTTAAAGGACTGCCAAGTTGAACTTTTGATTTCGGAAATCAGTACTAAGACAGATAAAATTGAAGGCTTGAAGCAAAGAGTGAGCTCAACAGAGAAGGATTTGAGAAAACTGAAGGAAGATTTGAGTTCCAGATCCTCTGAAATAGAAGCTTTGCAGGGAGAAGCTCTCACTAAGCAGAAAGAGTTTCAGGATCTCAAACAAACAGTCAGTGACAGAGACGGAAAAATAGAGCAGTTGACTCAGGAATACAATAAACAAGTTGAAGATTTATCAGAACAGGTGAAGAAACTGAAGGCAGAAACAACAGTTAAAGAGAATGAGGACATTTTAGGCTTGTCGCAAATGCAAGAGCTCCGGGCAAGTGTGGCTCAACTGTCGTCAGAACTTTCCAGTCAGAAAAGCAGCCACGAAGAAAGTGTCAGCGCTCTGAACATGAGCGTGTCGTCGGCGACTGGCGAGAGAGACCTTTTGGCGCAGCAGATGAATGACGCACTGTTGGACGCACAGCAAATCAAGAGTCAGCTGACAGAGACTTCGGAGCAGTTGGCCTTGACCTATTCTCAGCTGGAGTCTGTCACGTCGGAAAAGATCTCCTTGTCGGCCGAGGTCGGTGCCATGTCAGAGGAACTGACCCGTGCTTTGAACATTAAAGAAAGTTCTGAGAGAAAGGTCAAAGAGCTGGAGGCCTCTCTTCGGAGTGCGGAGGACGAGGCTCAGGAGAAGCTGTCTCAGAAACGGGGGCTGGAGGAAGAACTTCTCCGTGTGGAGGCGGACCTGAAGAGAGTGAGCGAGGAGAAGGCAGAGCTGGAGGCGTCGGCCAGAGGGAAGAACGAGTTCAGCACGCAGGTTCTGGAGGAAAGCCTCACGGAGGCGCATGCGGCACTGGAGGAGGCCAGGGATGAGAAGTCACTTCTCCAAGGTGAGAGCTCGTTAAAAGACCTGTCAAGTAAGATAAGATAAGATAATACTTTATTATCCCAGAGGGAAATTTTTCTTGGCTGTTCAGGACAGTAAAAACACATGCCGGTATACATAGGAATTTAAATTTTATATATTACTTTCATTAAAATTCAATATGAAAAGAGAAATAAAGCTAAAAAAAGTATGTATCACATCAGATGCATCATTCAACCACTTGCAAGGATTACAAGACCTTTAAAGATATATATACTCTGATAGTTATTCTGACAATAGCCTTATGCTAGATGGTAAAAACTTTTTTTATATCTTTGTTTGTTTGTTTTGTTTTTTGTACTCACTCCGATAAATGCATATTTCGTCTGGCTGTGAAGCATGGTATTGCTAAATGTGCGTGTCTTTGTCAAATTCGTTTAAAGGCATGTGCAGTTTAAAAAAACAGTTCTGTGGAGTAAATGTATATTTTAAGATATTTTATTATGCAATAAAAATAGGGGCATTTATTATTTTTAAAGGATCCTCTATGCAAAGTTTGATCATACCGTGTAGGTTCAACTCCTTTAGTTTAAAAACAAAAAAACCTTAGGCGGAAAACTAACACTGTAAAACAAAATCCAAAATGGCCTCTGTTTTTTACCTTTATTTTTTTTCTCTGTAAAACACACATTTTTTTCTGCTGAAATTATGTCATTCGCCCCCCACATGTAAATGTAAGCTTTCAGCACTAAAAAACATACCCTGAAACGTAGTATTTGCCGGCTCGCCAACTGTCACGAATTTCTCATGACTACCCTGGATTTGGCAATTTGGAATTAAGAAGACATTACATTCACTGTACCAAAAACCAGTCTGATCTGATGCTATTTTGTTTGTTGTAACATAGTCTGATATTATGGAGGTAAGTGTCCCCGCCTGGGTTTTGAAATAGTTGGCTAGCCCGTAGTTACGAGGCAGCGTGGTGAAATGAGGTGCTCGTCAAAATAATCAAAGTGAAGAAACTTGGCATTTTTCCACAGGTTTGGGAATTTTTATCAATTTTTTGTTTTTTTGGCTCAACACCTTTCATGCTCATTAAAGAACACATACATTTCTGTGTGAATTTTTCTGAAAAACATTGAATAAAGGCTTAAAAGATGTAAATTATAAGTTTCCACAGACTCTCAAGCTAAGGCGGCCATTTTCTCGCTAATTTTACCTCTGAAACCAGACCAACCCCTCCTCCTTAAATTGCTAATGTCTTGACTTGTATTCAAGATTTCCAGATATTTTTTTATCGAAAGCAAGGCAAATGGACTGGCTTTAAGATGACACCAATAACTCAGTATGCCCTAAAATTGATGAGGACCTAATTCCGTCACGTTATGACACTTTTGTGAATTTGACCTTTTTTACCTCACATGCTGTTAAGGTCTGGATATATTTGACTCTTTTGTTAAAAAATCCTTTGTACCCCCCAGGGCAATGCTACTGACTGAAGTGTCTTTAGGCCATTCCCAAAGGGGGGATATTAACATGTTTTTATGCACAGTAGAATTGTAAATGGGCTGTCTTATCGTTGTCAAGCTCACATTGTGCCAGAATAACAATGGGGGAACTGCTGCTTTTTTTTTCCCCTCATCCTTACTATCATCATTTTTCCTCTGCTTCTTTTGTATGTTTGTCACTCTCTTGTGAACTGCTATTTCCGGGGCGCCTTGATAGTCGAAGCAGACTTTGTGCTGTTGAGGCTAGAGAGGTGAGCAGAGAAAGCCTCATTCCCCCATTTGGACTTCTCTGTTGACGTCCTCCCCTTAGCGCTCATATGACCTTATGTAGTTGTGAGCACCGTAAAAACCTTATTAAAACAAATTTAAAAAAAAACAATCTTTTGTTTTAGGTGAACGAGACCAGCTGTCCCATCAAGTGGAAGAACTTCAAGGGGAGATAAATAGATTGAAGGATCAAACTTCTGAACTTCACACCCAACTGTCTTCTGTTGAGAACGCTACGCAGAATAACAGGTAGGCTATAGTACTTGAAGCGAGGTAAAATGTATGTCGTCATGGTGAAATCAGGCACTCGTTAAAACGTTGAATTCTAAGAAACCTGTATTTTTTCCTGTCGTTGGACTATTTTTGTCATGTGAATGATTTCTTGCTTTTGAATTTAACCCTTTTTGCTGTTGTCACTGGTAGTCCTGTGGTGCTTGAAACTACCCTGTAGCCACCAGTACACTGGTGAGCGAGACCTTATCTCCAACCCGGCCATCCTGGGACAAAATGCTCACTGAAAACAGTGTTTACTACACAGGATGTTATTGATTGTTTTGAAGGTCTTTCCGAATTAGATGCTTGTAATGACGAGGACTACCCTGAGTGGACTATGAAAAGTGATTCTGATGATCTCATGAATGTTAATAATATATCACTCAGAAGCTCACGCGGAAGGGCATGGTAGCTTCAGGAGGTCAGGGTTCAAAGGGTTAACATCCATCTCCAATAGGACCAAACGAAATGAGAAAATTTGTGTTGTTAACTGCCCTTTTCAAGGACACAACATCAGACCAAGCTGAGCTTCTAACCCCTGACCCTGCAATCTCTTGTAATGTTTATCAATATCCTTACTAAAAATGTAGCTTTTTTAAGAGCATCCGAGCAAAGGAATGAATGGAGAGCCATGATCATTGATGTCTGTCGCAGATCTGGCACTGTATGATGATTATGATGATGATGATGGGTATCCTTACTATGTTGATCTTTTTTTTGTGAATGTTTTGTTTTTTCCTTTAGTTCTCCAGAGGTGGAGTCATTGAAGAAACAGCTGGAGGAACAGTGCGAGCAACACAAGTCTGCTGTGGAGGATTTGAACGAGGAGATCTCAGCTCTGCAGTTCCAGCTTAGCTCAGAACAGATGAACAGGCATGAGATTTCACAGGCAAGGCATCCGTCAGTCACTTAGTTCACTTTTGCAACATTTTTGGTGTCCTTCTGGGTTGTTTTTTTTTGCGGTACTTTTTGCTGTATTATATATAGCATGCAAGCTGTTCAAATGTCGGAAGCCCAGAAAGCAACATTTTTCAGAAGAGAGAAGAGAGGAAGAAGTGTTTCATTCTTCTAACTATTCTATTTCTACATAAATTATGTATTTTTTCTTGATTTTCAACTTTTAGAATTTGAATTTTGACAAAATGTTCCTTGTGCAGGTGCAACCTATGCCACAAATAACTCTTTATCTCTGGAGGGGGTTTTCCCATTATGTCAGAGCCTTTTTTTGGTGCATAACATGAAAGTGACTCAACTGGTCATTGAATCAAAGCAAATGAATCTATTTTGATAGTTCTTCATCTATCGAAAAAAGCTCCCAAAAGTTAATAATATGTTGTTGTTGTCATAAAAGAATTTAACTTACCCGCTGACCGCAAATCACTGGCTCAGCAGTTTCAACTGTGAGCCACTGGAAACGATTTGCTGGAGACAAGGAGTTAAGAACTGTAATAAAAGAAATTTTCACAATTTTGGGCTTTGTATCACTAAAGACTGAAAATAAAATAGAAGCACACAGAAATGTGATTTCTTAGGAGACTGCTAAGATTATCGTGGAAGGAAAAGAAATCAAATGAGGTAGTGCTTGATGAAGCCCACGTGGGACACTCGATGTTAAAAACAATCAGGAAACGGCAAATGCAGTTTTTGGGACTCCTGAATAGACATAAGTGTCTTGAACATGTACCTCACACTGGCAAAATTGAAGGCAAACGAGACAGGGGTAGGCCCAGAACAACGTACTTAGGGAACCGAAACAAATGGGTAACAGGGAAAGATCAGGGAAGCGTAGCTTTTTTGAGAGCATCTGAGCAAAGGAATGAATGGAGAACTATGATCGCCGATGTCTGTTGCAGATCTGGCACTGGATGATGATGATGACATCTGAACAGCTAGTCAATGAATTATGGTGCATGGCTCACTAGAAGTGCAAATGATCCTTTTTCAAGACATGAAGAATACGGGGTGATGATTTTTTAGGAATCTTACTTTAAAAGTTTGAAGCCTTTTTAAAAATTTTAACCCTTACAGCGCCAAGCTATTTTTAGCCCTCACTTGCCTCTGACCCAGGTAATACTGAAGTCCCTTGACGCCTCAGATCCAGCCTGTGTCTGCAATTATTTACAGAAATGTTAGAAAGATACTATGTATTTGTTTGAAGTTTTAGAAAATAAATTAAACAACATTTTTCAGAGACAATTGAATAGATTGTGTCAACTCTTTGTCTCCGAGTGGTCGGTGGCAGGGGCCAGTGAGGTTGTCACGTTTTATTATGATCATTTGTATAATTTTTTTTTCTTTTTATAGCCAAATGAGATGGGTGATGGCGAGAGTGACGGTCTGCGTGCTCGTATCTCTGACCTGGAGATTATCATCGAGCAGCTGGAGGAAGAGCTCAGCGCAGCACGTCAGGGCAGGGAGACGGATTCCTCTCAGGTTTACTTTTGTTTGGGTTTTTGTTCGTTTTAAAAAAATTATTTTTTAATTATTATATTTTTGGAGGAGGGGGGGGGGGGGGGGTCTCAGATGTTTCCCAAATATTTTTAAAGATTCTGGAAAAATATTCTTGTTCAGAGTTCTCCATGTGAAGTTTTTTTCCATGTAGGGAATTTTTTATATTTTCCAGGTCTTTCTACTGAAATGTTGTATTCCTCTCAGCTCAGGTTGGCTCTGACAGGCAGGGTCGATTCCTGCTTCCAAAGTAATCTAAATTGCGTCTATTGAGTGAAATCTTTTAAGTTTTTTTGTAGGTTTATTGTTTTGTTTTGATTTTGTAAGAATTGCAAAAAGCAATAGTTTTACTGTACTTGGGAATGCAATGACATCGGCTTCTGTGAGAGGGCGAGTTTTTAGCTAGAACACATCAGTTTTGCCATCAGTGTACGGCCGTGGGTTTGAATCCCATCAGGAACGCGACATTGTGTCCTTGAGAAAGGCCCTTTACACAAATTTTCCTCACTTCACCCAGATTGGAATGGGTACCCTGCAAGAGACAGCCAAAAATCATGTCAGTTTGTTAGTGTTTTTGTGCGTGTAATCTGCAGCTTGCACTGAATGCTTCCCAGGAAGCCGAGAATGTCTCTGAGTGTTCTTGGGTCTTCTGGGGTTGTAATCATTGTAAAGCGCATAGAGCATGCTTAAGTGCGTGGGTACGCGCTATATAAATGCAATTATTAATACTATTATTATATTTGATTAGCAAATCTGGTTGGTTTCTCCATTCGAAAAATGCTTTATTAAGAGAGCAAATTTGAGGCATTGTGGTAAAATCAGACGCAGGTCAAAATAATGAAATCGAAGATATCATCATTTTTTTCTCTGCCGGTATGGCAGTTATTATTAAATTTTTGTGTTTTCTCTCAACACCTTTTATGTATTGAAAAGTGATAAGACATGAAATAACATCAAGAGGCTAGCCAGGAATAAGGAAAAGTGGAAAGTGTTTATTTGTGGCCTGTAGCCTGATCCAGGGTGGGAAAGGCAATGATGATGATGATGCCATTTAAAAACACATTTGTGAGGCAGCGTGGTGGGATCAGGCTCTCGTCAATTATGGGGCTTGTAGAGTTATTGGTATCATCGTAAAGCTTGTTCACTTGTGTTTATTAGGATGAAAAAAATATCCATTTATCTTGAATACAAGTCGAAATATTTGCGAATGAAGGAGGTGGGGGTCACCTGTTTTCAGAGGTAAAATTAGTGAGAAAATGGCCATCAAAGATTAGTTATTTCCTTAGCTTAAAGAGTCCGTGGTAACTGAAAGTTTACATTTTTTGTGCCTTTAATCAACGTTTTTCAGAAAAATCCCCACAGAAATGACTTCTTTAATGGGCATGAAAGGTGTTGACCCAAAAAACAAAAATTTGATAAAAATTCACAAACCAACAGAAAAAAGCAAGTTTCTTCACTTAGATTATTTTGACGAGAGCCTGATTCCACCACGCTGCCTCACATTTTTGTGTGGATTTTACTGAAAAATATTGATTAAAAGTGCAAAAAAGTGTACTTTCAGTTTAAAAGAACTCTCAAGCTATGCAAATCACCAAACTTTAGCGGCCATTTCCTTGCTAATTTTACCTCAGAAACCAAGCGACCCCCTCCTCGCTCAATAGCAAATATCTTGACTTCCATTAAAGATAGATTGGTATTTTTTTCACTTGAAAGATAGACTAATGAACAAGCTTAAAGATGATACCAATAACTCCTCATGCCCCCCCAAAAAAGGAGCGCCTGATTCCTCTGCTTCGTGACACAAATGGAAAAATTTTTTTACTTTAAAAAAGATTAAAGTAGCAGTTGTTAAGGTTTCTGAAATACTGGGGGTTTTTTGGGGTTTTTTTTAAAGGTTCAAGAGATGGAAAGTCGTTTCAAGCTCAAGGAGACGGAATGTTCTCGGATGAAGGACCAGCTGCAGAGGGTATTGTTTTCACAAGTTTTTTTTTGGTCCCTTTTCCCCAGAAGTATTGATGTGGGTGGTTGGTGGCTGCTCTGGTTTGGTTTGCTCCTACTTACCTTTCAAACATCTATCGTCCTTATCTCTCTTCGTTCTTTTCTTTGTATGTTACTCTCTTATAACACCTCTAATCTTGGACACTTATTTGATCTGATTGGGATGCAAGTGCCATGAAACTCTCACTAAAACTTCAGAAATATTGACCTGTGTAGTGTGTAATAATAAACTCCTTCAATGGAGTTGCACTAATTTCTTTTCACTCCTCAAAGATGCCTGTCATTAAGTAAGATGATTCCCTGGAAGTGATGAAATGTGAATGGCCTTTTTATCATTTTATTCCCCACCGACATTTAAAATGATACTGTACATGTGACGTTATTTAAATTCTACCTGAAAGTGAGAATTAAATTATTCTTTTGAGTGATGTTTCTTCAAAATGATACTCTTGAAGTAACGTATTTGAATTGATATTTTTTTAGGGCCTTTAATTTAGAATGATACTCATCAAGTCACATGATACTTGATACTCTTAAGTGATGTTTATTTGAAACAATTCTCTTCAAGCGAACTTTATACAATGATACGGTTTATGTGAGGTTTATATAAAACGATACTCTTCAAGTGAAGTTTATATAAAATGATACTCTTTGAATAAAGTGTATATAAAATGATAGTCTCTGAATAAAGTTTATACAAAATGGTACTCTTTGAATAAAGTTTATATAAAATGATACTCTTTGAATAAAGTTTATGTAAAATGATACTCTTTAAGTGAAGTTTATTTCAATTGATAACCCCGCCACAGATGGAGTCGGTGCTCACTGCTGAAGGAAACAAACGTCAGGTGACAGAAGCTGAGCTGAACTCTCTAAGACAGAGCAGTCAGCGGGAGAAGCAGGACTTGGAGACCGAGCTTGCCGCAGTGAAATCAGACAATGAGCAGATAAAAAAGAAACTCATCAAGTTGATCAAGTAGGTGGTTCTGAATTTTACTCCTAATAGAATCAGCTTGTTTGTAGTTTGTTTGTTTGTTTGTTTGTTGGTTTTTTGGGGGGGGTTATTGGTGATGTTTGGTAAGTTGAAAAAAAACCCCCAATATTTTAAATGCTCAGTGAAAGAATCTGCCATTGGTCACTTTCCAAAATGGCGTGAGGCGAAGTTCTACACTAAGCAGTCGATCTGAGTTTTTCTGATCAGTTTCATTATGTTTTAGAATTTAATATTTTTGTAACAACTTGGAGATATGGAAGCGGATCTAGTGATTCATGCGTTCAACAAGTTTTCAAAGGTATTCTGTTGGCGCTCATATGACCTTATGCAGTTGCGAGCACGGTAAAGACTCTACTAAAACAAACAAAAACGAAAGTTTGTATAGTTGTCCTTGCTTTCACTTCCCCAAGTGAATCAGAAGGTGGGACCTGTCCTGCCTTTAATTATTTCTTTCTATTAATCATTTTGTGTTGAAATTAGGCTTGATTAAACAACAGTAAGCAGGTTACTCAGATGAAATCAGAGACACCCCCCCCCCCTTCCTCCGATTTTTTTTCTATGGGTCTATGGAAGAACTCCAATCTGATTTACATAAAATCCTTTTTTTTTTCATGAATACTCTGTATCCTTTGTTGGTCTTACGCAACTTATCGTAAATAATATTAACATATGCATGATTATTTGCAATATTTGCACGTCGTAGTATAAATGATGCGAAAATACACTCTTTTATTTGTGTTTATTGCTTGTGTTTGCAATTCACATTTATTTGCCATGATGAGTTCATAATGTTATCAGAATCTACTGGGGTTCTGGAGTCTCTTCCCCCCCCCCCCTACTCCTAATTTTTGGTCATGGAGGAGTTGGCAGGTCTGCCTGAATGCCTTGATATTGGATTGCACAACCTACTATTTCAGGGAGTCTTGATGTGGGCAACCAACTCAGAGTACCTCTTCATTTTTGTAGTTTTCGATTGCAATTTAGACTTGATGGAAAATGATAGGCTTGTATACCATAATACTAATTCTATATTTAATATAATATGTGCTTCCTTCAGGATAAGACCCTCATCTGTGGTGTAGCTTCGCTGTCGCCCGTAAGAGACCCGAGTTTGATTCCTGAGTGGGGAGAAAATTTTTATCAGGTGTCTCAGTCTTTCTGCTAGGATGTATCCTTCTCAGTCCAGGTTGGCCCTGACAGGCAAGGTTGGAAGCCCGCCTCCTAAATGATCTAAATTGTGTCGATGAAGGCGTTAAAAACACCTACATTTTTTTTCTAAAGACGAAAAATTTCTTTTTCCAGGGATAAGGATGACCTTTGGCAGAGGACTGACCAGCTGGTGGATGAGCAGAAACGCAAAGCCACTGACCGCTGGCAGGACAACTCTATGGTCACTCACTGCCCACAGTGCAATACTGAGTTCTCTCTCTTTGTCCGAAAGGTATGAGGTCGCCTTACTGACATTTTTTTTTTCTTTCTCTCATACTCTTTATGTTTTACATAACCCTGCAATATCAAATTCTTTCTCTTTAGCCGAAAAGTATGAGGTAACCGTACATACTTTTTTTTTCTCTTTCTTTCTTACTCTTTATTTTTTTCACTTGACCCTACAATGTCGAGTCGTCTCTCTTTGTCAGAAAGGTATGGATTTGCAGTATTGATATTTATTCATTATTCCTTCCTCCTTGTTTTCTTTTCTACACCACTTCTGATGTTGTGTGTTTTCTACTGCAGGTTTGCTGTATCACTTCCAGTACCGTCTGAGAAGGTTGTCACCATGCCCTCTGCATGGGCTCACTATCAATGGCTACTTTAATCGCAAACTCGACCATGCACACTAAACATATGTGTCACGACGTGGTGGAATCAGGAGCTCGTCAATTTTTGGGCATGTAGAGTTATTGCTATCATCTGAAAGCTTATTCATTTGCCTTGCTTTCAAAGAAAAAAATATCCATCTAGCTTGAATAAAAGTAAAGATATTTTTGATTGAAGAAGGTGGGGTAGCCTGGTTTCAGTGGTAAAATGAATGAGAAAATGGCCGCCAAAGTTTGATAACTTCAATAGCTTAAGAGTCAGTGAAAACTGAAAATTACGTATTTTATGCCTTAAAACAAGTTTTTTCAGTAAAATTCACTTGGAAATGTGTCTTCATATGAACATAAAAGGTGTTAGCCAAAAAACAAAATTTCTAGAAAAATTGCCAAACCTGTGGAAAAATGCCTTTTTCTTAGATTTCATTATTTTGACGAGCGCCTGATTTCACCACGATGCCTGACATATTTAAACTAAGAACGCAACCACTGCACTGAAGTAAATACCAAAGGAAGTCACTCTACAATATCGATAGCTGAATGGTTGATGAAATACTGAATTTTAAAAATTTGTTTATTGGGCTCTGAAGGTTTGTGTAAAAAGTGTTAATTGCTATGGTATCCCATGTCCTAAACTGGTGCGGTACTTGATTTTTTTGGTTGCAATATAGCCTTCAGTACTGTAAATGTTAATAACTTTGGAGAAGAGAATTAAGGAGAGGGGGGAAAAGGCTGGATTTTTTAATCTTAGAGGTCAGCATGTCGACTGACTAGATGCTGCATTCTTGGTTGTTTTTTTTTTCTTGTTTTACTCGTACCTCAAAAATGTGTGCTTGCCTGTAATAAAGCTGTGTCCTCATAATATTGAATCTTAATTTTTTTCCTAATATTTTGTTTGGAAATACAGATGATGCATTCTTTTCAACTCTCTGCTGACTTCTATCATGTGAAATCTCCCTGTTACTTTATCCATACTCATTTATTCTTGAGTTAGAATCTAAAAAAGAAGAAATTAGAATCCCAAAAAGGGAAATGTGATATTCTGGTTAATAAGTACTGTCTCGCTGCTTCATTGTCATTGTCTGTTGTTTTTTTTTTCTTTGTTTTTTTTTCAGCACCATTGTCGGCTTTGTGGGAAAATTTATTGCTGGGCATGCTCAGATTTCTGGCTGGATGTGGCCCATAGCAGGTATGTGAGGTGACTGGAAAGGGAGGGGGGAGTGGGTAATTTCTTAGTAACGTTAGGGGACAGGGAAGCGAGTAGTGTCATATCTTAAGCTCGTTGGGGGACCTAAGGAGATGGGAAAGTGGAAAATGTCTTGGGTACATGATGTGGCTTGAGAGGATAGAAAAGCGGTTAACATTTTGGATACATACGTCTTACGTCATTTTTAAAAGTTCAGTATATGCAGTTTTTACCATTTTACAGGAGAGCCAAAACATACGAAGCGTTGTTACCAAGAAAACAAACTCCTTGCAAACATCCCAAGTCAGTATTTTAAGAATACTTTTTTGATAATATCTTCCTGATTATCATTAATGCAAATATTGTTTTCATGGTAACAATATTCAGTTTTTTAGCTCTCCTGTAAAATTGTAAAAACTGCATATACTGTACTTTTAAATATGAGAGTAGATGTGAGGGGATTTGAGAAGATAGGAAAGCGGGTAATGTCTTATGTAAATTAGGTGACTCGAGGCTACAGGGAAGTGGGTAATTTTAAACACCTTTCAAATTTAAATTAAAAAGTGAAATTTACTGCCAAGTCATTTTGGCATTTACGTTTTGCGAGAACACACTTTCATCTCTAAGACTAGACCTGTTTTTATTGATGGCTTGCAAGCCTAGCAGTAAAGTAATACTAACAAATTTGGTTCCCATATGCACATTTCTATTTTCAAATACAAATCCATGCAGTGCTTGTGGCTTATCTCCATACAGAAAAATTAGAGCTGGATGATTACTGGGACACTGGGACATATAATGCCTCATAGGCAACAAGGAGCAGCAAATTTTGCCAACTTTAGTGGCATTCATGGAACTGCACAAAGCTAAAAATTACGCATTTTCATGCCGTAAGGCACCCTGGTGTAATCTATCCTGATTTGCTGCCTCTATTGAAGGGAGGTGGTTAAGCAAGCTTTATAGCCCCTGGACTAATGTTCTTATATGTTGACGTTGTCCTTTTTTAAATCCCTTTTTGCAGCAAAAAGGCTCGTGTGTGCAAGTCTTGTTTCGAGAGGCACACAGATTTAGATGCTATGAGACAGTCAATGTCTACGTCGATGATCACTGGCAGCAGTGATGAAGAGGAGGACGAAGGACAGACTACACCAGATGGAGTGGGGACAAGAGAAGGCAGCCATGGTAAGAGACACGAGCTCAGCACATGAGTGTTGCTACATCATTACATCATCGTTGTGGCATCAGTGGTCTAGTAGTTAGCTACACTGCGTGCTCATATGACCGTATGCAGTTGCGAGCGCCGTAAAACTCTTACTTAACTAAGACTTAGGTAGCTGCGGTTGTGGTTGAAACTGAAAGGTCGTGGGGTGGAACCCTGTAAGGGTCCAGATGTTGTGTTCTTGAGAACGGCACTTGATATGAATTTTCCTCTCTCTACACAAATGGAAACAGGCACTTGGTGCTATTTTTGACAGTACTGGGTGTCCCGCCTTTTGAGTATGTGATGCGTGTCTTTCGCAGGTGATTTTTTACCCTGACTTCACATCACTGGTGGGGTGGGGTTAGTGTGGAGATGGCAGATCAGGCTGATCTTTCCCCCGAAAATGTTTGTTGCAATGGGGACAGGGGTTATGTGGGGCTGGGGCTGGCCTTTAGAGAGTGTAACTTGTTTATAGTAGTGGAACACATAACATGCGATTAATCTTTGATGTCGAGACACTGACACATTGATGTGGTGTTTCACAGTATACACATGCACATACACACACACACACACACACACACACACACACACGCACATACACACTCACACACACACACTCACGCGCATACATACACACACCCACACACACACACACACTCACGCGCGCACACACACACACACACACACACACACACACACACACACACACACACACACAGGCATATACACATACTTATCTATTATGAATAGAATTTGAAATACATGTGTTTGTGATTGAAGGAGGTGGGGGTTAATTGTCTGGTATCCAAGATTAAATTCATGAAAAAATGGTCGCGAAAGTTTCGTTAATTCCAAAACTGGAGTGTCCTTAGAAACTACAAATTTACATTTTTTGTGTGTGTTTTTAAAAAAACAAAAGGTGTTTTACCAAAAAAAAAATTCCAATAAAGATAGCCAACCAGACAGATTTTATTATTTTTTCAAGCGCCTGATTTCACCATGATGCCACGCATCTATTATCTATTTGCGGTGGCCGAATTTTGCTATTCAAAAGGCTTTTTAATGGCTGCATCGATCGACTTGCGGTTTTCGCCAAAAGATTCTTTAAAATATTCTCCAGATCATGACGCCCTTGGTTTTTTCAGTTTTGAGACAGTTTTGCTGCAAAAATCTAAATTTCTTTATTTCGCCGATCGCTTTTGTAGGCCGACGCTTCTGTCTCTGTAATTTTAGAAAATCTGGAAGTGATATTTCGCGAGGCGCATTTTGTTTTGAGAGTATAGATCTAGACCTTCTAATTTTTTTTCCATTTCTCAAGATTTATTGCCCCATTCCAGTGGAGTGTAAATATAGTGGGCCAATGACTTTTAGTTGATATTAAAGCACCTATTTCATTCCTTTCATCGAAAGGGGGCCCACCTAGTATAAATACAAATGGATACTTGTTAACAATAGTAACATAAATAAAAATGGATAATTTAAGCTTGTTACATGATGGGTAGTCTGATAGTATCCCGATAGTATTCTGTGACTGACTTTACTGCAATTTGTTTTTCTTTATTTATTATTTCAGATTCTGCGGTGTCCCCACATAATCAGACTGATGAGGGTAAAATCCGACAGAGGTGGGTCAAATTCATTCCTGCTTTATTCTTTTTTTCTCCTAAATTGTGGGCCCTTTGTGGGTTTTCTTTTGTATTATGTTATTATAATGACTCTGTTTAAGAGGATGAACTGTCTAAGATGATCACTCCTTTTCTCCTTGACAATTGGTGGTCATCTTGGACAGGTCTGGCTGAATACATGTATATATGTGTGTGTGAGTGTGTGTGTGTGTGCGTGTGTGTATGTGAGAGTGTAAAGGAAAGTTTTGTGCTATTACTATTTTTGTTGTCCACCTTTTCCCTTATCCTCCACCATTACCCTTATCCCTTCTACTTCCATTCATGCGTTGCACCAAATTCCTAAGTTTCCTTTCAGAGACACACCCCCCCTCTAGTTGCTAATTTAAACAATCTATAATAACGTATTTGTGCCATACACAGTGGAATCAGGCTCTTTGTCATTTAGAGTTATTCGTATAATTTTAAAGCTTGTTCATTTGATGAAAAAATACCCATCTTTCTGTCATAGAAATCTAGGTATTTGCAATTGAAGGAGGTGGGGGTCGCCTAATGACAGAAGGAAAATTAGCGAGAAAATGGCCGCCAAAGTAGTGTCCTCGGACATTGCGAATTCACATCTTTTTGTGCCTTTAATAAACAATTTTCAATAAAATGCATTCAGGAATGTGTTTCTGGACATTAAAGATTTTGAGCCCAAAACAAAAAATGGATAGAAATTGCCTAACGAGCGTAAAAATGTCAATTTTTTTCTAGTTCATTATTTTGACGAGCACCTGATTTCACCCTGATGGTACACATTTGTCCTAGAGCAGGGATCCCCAAACTACAGGCCATGAGCACCGTACGTCAGGCCCACCGCCCTTCCACCATTCAGGGAAAAAAATTTGGCAGATGTGTTCATAGCATACTCAGAACTGGCTCACAAAAATTATAAATTTGTTTCAACGAGCGCTACAGTACAAATTAAAAGGGTTCCCACTCAACTGGGAAAACGGTAAAAAGCTGGGAATTTCATTTTCAGATTTCTCGGTCAGGAAAACACCATGAAAATTAATAAAAACGAAAATATACAGGAGAAAGCCGGGAAATCTAAGGACTGACTGTAATTATGAATTTTGCAGAATCGTTAAGGTTTATAAACTCTTTAAAAAATTTTCTATTTTACGCAAATAAGATTTTACCACCCCACCCCTGATTCGAATTTAAAGAAACTTATTTGCCGTTCTGCTCTCCCAACCCATCCCCATCTTCCCAGCGTCAAGGAGAGATCAGGAAAGTCAGATCCCGACAGTCCACGTCATAACGTCACGTGCAGCTAACTTTAACTCCCTCTTTGCACTGAGGCCTAGTAGTGGTTTAGTGACACTTTCCCCTTAGAAAAACACAAGCTGGGCCCCCTTTCGATGAAAGGAATGATCGGTGCTTTAACCATCAGCTGAAAGTCATTGGCCTACTATATTTACACTCTACTGGAATGGAGCAATAAATCCTGAGAGAAAAGTGACACAGGTGTTTCCAAGTTGCCAAATATATAATAGACAAAGGAGTCCTGAAATAAACAAACCTGACGGATTTTCTAAAATTACACTGACAGAAGTGTCGGCCAACAAAAGTTATCAGCGAAATAAAGAAATTTAGCTTTTTGCAGCAAAACTGTCTCAAAACTGAAAATATGAAGGGCGTCATGATCTGGAGAATATTTTAAAGAATCTTTTGGCGAAAACCGCGTGTGGATCGATGCAACCATTAAAAAGCCTTTTGAATAGCAAAAATTGACCACCTCAAATAGATAATGGATTAGTTAGGAGAAAGGCCAACATTAAGTTTGTGACAAAGTGTTAAAAAATTCTTGCACCTGTGCATTGTGGGTGATGGTCTAGACAAATAAAAGAATTTTTCAAAAACCAAAAAAGAAGTAACCTGATGTGCGGCATGTTGTGTAATAATGATGTACAATTAATGATTAAGATCAAAGGCTCGCGATACGTCCTGTCAGTTTCTTTTGTCTTTGCAAGAGTCAAGCCAACAACCAATAAAGTAACCACATCCCCCTCCTCCCCCCCCCACCACCACTCTCATTTACTTACGTTTACACTTATTCTATAACCCCTGTCCTTGACACTAACACCTCAGGGAAAGGGACTGTTCATGGTGATGTACGATTTTTATCATGCATTTCTCTTCATTTCTACATCCTGGCTCTGTCATCTTTAAAAAAAAAAAGAAATTACGACATCTATTGCAACATGCCATAAGTGATGGGAAGTTCCCCTTTTTTTTTTTTTCGTGCATTTTGCAGTCCAAGATAATTAATTGCCGCAACTGGTTCAAATAGTAATCTGATTCTACTATGATTCTGGAGACTCTGATTTTTTTCCCCCGAACTCCTATTATTAGTGAACTATTATTAGTGAAGATTCTTAGGAAAACTCCTATTTTTAAGGAGGATTTTGAGGAAAACTTCTATTTTTAAGGTTTCTAAGGAAAACTCCTATTGTAAGTCATGGAGCGGTTGGCAGGTATGTAAATTTGTCTCTTTCAAGTTTGTGATAAAGCACTTGTACTTCACCCTTTGCCCCTCTTGCTTCCTCCCTCACCAAGTTCCAGGGTTAATCCAGCCCAATTAGATCCTACAGAAGGTGCGGCCGGCCAGGTGGACGACCCAGATAACCCAGAGGAAGGAATGTTCCAGATTGTCACCGAGGCGGATGTGGAGAGGTCGATGTCAGATTACTCAAACCAGCAGGCAACCGACACTCCCGAAAAGTACGTTGCAGACTGGGGGGGTGTCTGGTAGCTGAAGCTGTATTGTGCCAGTACCGTAGCATAGTTAGGTTAACTCTTTTACTACCAGACCAAAATCCACCACTGGGTCCAGGGCTTTTCCCTGACCTATATTTACGCCCCTACCTCGCCAGAGGAAAATGTCAAAACTTCCAACTAAACTCACACAAACCATATCTTATGACCCATCAAACCGAAGGTTAAAAAATAATCTATCAGATGGCGATATAATGTTGAAGATTTATTCCAATTATATTACTTTGGGGTTTCTAAAAGTGATTATGCAAAATCGAAGGTGTTGTATGAAATCAACAATTTTCCAGTTTTGAAAGGTCATATCTAAAATAGTAAAAGAACAGCATCATTCACACTTCCCAGGTAGGTTGCCTCAAGTAATGCTAAGAAATGCTGAAAGTTATGTATGCTTACCTAATATAGAAGTGAAAATATTAGACATATACTGAAGTCAGGGGAGCGCTTTTTTTTTTCATATTTGCGTTTCGAAGGGGACAAAAAAAGGGCTGAAATGACTCAAAATTGTCTGTCAGTGCTATATTTTCTTTTGTATCTGCTAACAGGAAGTCTATTCTATTATTTTGAAAAAGTGGATCGGCCGAGAATTTCGTGTCTTTTTATTACTGGATTGGAATAGATAGCAAAATGTGTCCTTGATGCAATTTCGCTGTACGGCTAAGGCAGTTACAACAGACTGCTGATCCTGTTCTAACGGTCAACTGTATAAGATAATTACCTGTACAGATGGCCTTTTCCCGTTCCCCCCCCCTCCCCCCCTTACATTTTTGGTAACATTGCGTAAGATTGCCATATTTTTATTTGACAATGGGTGAACAATGTCTTAGATAATTTTGTCTGCTTTGTGAGTAACTTATTAATCTTGGGGGGTTGTAGGGCTAATGACTTTCGCTTCTTGAACTACTGTACAAAAAAAAAAAATGACTGATGTAGTTACAATGTTTCTTGATGAAATGTTTTAGTCTCTCTGCACTTAACAGTTTGTTTGGTTTAGGGTAATATTTGCCTCATTTCACCACGGTAGTTGAGCATCTGATAGAATGTTTTAAAAAATAAAACTAAGAAAAGTTCTCACGCCTAAATTACCTGTGGACCTCTGACGACTTCATAGATGCTGCTTGTGCAAAGTCTCATCCAAGCTTGTATGAACTGAGAATGTATTTGTTTTGTTGGGGTTTTTTTTGTTGGGTTTTTTTTTTTTGGGGGGGGGGGTTTGTATGTGTGTGTGTTTGTGTGTTTTGCTATCCCCCCCCCCCCCTCCCCCACCCGCCAGACCAAAATGCCCACCCCTCCTCCCCACTTTCTATTGTACCCAAGTTTGTGTGTGTAATATTTGAAGCCAGCCTAAACCCTTCCCCCACACACACCCTCCCCCTCCTTTACACCATACAATGTATCTTAGTTGTGGACTACCACATTTTAGAGGTATTTACCGTTCTTTTTTGCTTTGGGTTCCCAAGAAAAGGAATTGCACTTTTCTTTCTTATACATGATTGTATTCAGGCGAATGTTTTGCACAAAGTGGGATGGAAATACGAAGAAGAGATGGGGAAAAAGTTTCTGCCGCTCTGAAGAAAATGTCATTTCACTCGTCGCACTCATGGACATTCTTCTTTACGTTCCCCTACTAGATCTTAGAGGAAGTTGACTGTTGATTCTTAATAATAATAATAGATAATAATAGATAGCATTTGTATAGCGCAAATCCCCACTCAACAGCAAGCTCTGTGCGCTTTACAATCTATACTATTACCCCAGCAGACCTGAGATCATTCTGAAACAACTTTAACTTCCTGGGAAGCATACTGTGCAAGCAAACATAAGCGCTATAACACAAAATACTGACAAGATCTTTCGCTGTCTATGGCCGGGTACCCATTCCCACCTGGGTGAAGTGAGGAAAATTTGTGTAAAGTGCCTTTCCCAAGGACACAACGTCGGGCCTGCGGCTCGAACCGCCAAATCCGCAATCTCACGATTACAAATCCGAGCCTAACCACTAGGCCACCGAGGCCACCATCTGCAGTGCAATGGATTTTTTGCATATTTGACCATTTTTCCTATTTTCTTGGACCTCTAGCCTTCAGGCAGCCGCATTCCGATTTTGAAGGTACTCTATGTGTTTTTTATACTAACTAGAGTATTTTCAGTTTTGGTAGAAATTAAATTTTAATTTTGTCCCTACCCTTGGAAGAACCAGGGCAAATTAAGAGCAAAGAATGGGGCTTTATGTATCTGCTGTGATGACAAGTGCAGGAAAAGTGATGCTGAAATTGGGGAAATATATCACTCTTTGTGTTTCTTTTTGTTTGGTCTCACACTGTCTCCCAACATCGTATTCTGTAGCGGGAAAAGGTGCTACAAATATTGAAATGACCCGCGGAGTAACTTTAACTGATTCAGCACGTAGATGATTTTGACTCCTGACACAAATAATTTGTGGCTGCTTCATGACCTCACAGGTGGTCTCGCAAAAAGTTAATTTTTAAAATATCTAAATTTGATTAAAACCCTATGTGTGGCACATAGAAATGTTCAGAATAAAAAAATACTATTCAATGACACCAAAAAAAAAAGGGTTGAAATGTAAGCTGTCAGGACAAAAGACGAGAGGAAAGTGACGCGAAGAACACAGGAGACAGTCAGCTGCTGTGAGTGGCACTGCGGGCTGAATCAGTTTAGCAATCTCTTCATTCCTTTCTTTTTCACACTTACTTACTTACTCTCTTCCCTCTATTGTTAGATAGATACATAAGACAGAGAACAGTCCAAACCTTGCTTGCCCAGTCCTGGCCATCTCCTCGTCCAATCTTGGTACATCTACGCCCAGGGTGATTGCCTCATCCCTAAGTGTGATTTTGAAACTTTTACAGTTGTCCTACCTCTTCTTCTTTTTCCAGTAGGTCTCCAATTTCATGTCAGTCAGGGCAACCTTGTCTCTGGTATTCTCAAAACATGTCCTAAACACCACATGGAAACATGGTATTTTAAAAGACCTGCGTGACTTGGGCTTACACGGAAATCTTCCCGAATTTATAAGAAACTTTTTGAAAGATCGATCATTTCAAGTAAAAGTAGGTTCGACCCTATCAAATTTACACACCCAAGAAGAAGGCGTCCCACGGGGAAGCATCTTATCGCCCATTCTTTTCGAAATTAAAATCAATTCCATCACAAAAACCCTTCAAAACAATATCGACTGCTCACTTTACGTTGACGACTTCCTGATCTGCTATAAATCCAAGTCCAAAATAGATCACATTGAACACCAGCTTCAGCTTCAACTCCATAAACTGGAAACCTGGGCAAACAGGCACGGGTTCAAATTTTCTACAACAAAAACAAACTGTGTACATTTTTGTCTGTCGCACAAGTGTGTGCGACAACCAGATTTATATTTGTTTGGAGAGAAATTTCCTGTTAAAAAACAAACCCGTTTCCTGGTTGTAATCTTCGACAATAAACTTTCTTTCCTGCCACACTTGAAAGACCTAAAGACGAGGTGTCAGAGTGCTCTCAATGCGGTAAAAGTATTATCCAATCCCGAATGGGGAGGAGATACCAAAATACTTCTTCAACTTTACTGTTCTCTTGTCCGTTCCAGGCTGGACTATGCCAGTCCTGTTTACGGATCAGCTAGAAAGTCTTACCTTAAAATTTTAGACCCTTTTCAGAACCAAGGCCTTCGCCTTGCCCTAGGTGCTTTCCGTACTTCACCTGTAGAAAGTTTACAGGCAGAAGCTCATGAACCATCTTTAGAACTTAGAAGGAAAAAACTCTCTTTGCAGTATGCTTTGAAACTTAGCTCAGTACCCCAAAACCCAGCCCACAAATGTGTCTTTGGCCTTTCCGAAGATCTAAAAACTCTATCCTCCTTAGGAAATAAAGTAAGCCCTTTCGGAATAAGACTCCAGAGCGATCTCAAAGACATCGATTTTTCTGAAGACATAATCGAGCCCTTTGCCATGTCCAGCATACATCCATGGCATTTAACCAAACCAAACATAGATACTAGTCTTGAAAAACACAACACAAAGTCTACAGACGAAACTACATACTTAAAGTCATACAAACAGCTAATAAATAGATACCCTGAAGCAGAGAAACTCTTTACAGACGGATCCAAAAATGACTCCTCAGTAGGAGCTGCTGCCCTTGCATCGCCACACAGCTTAAGCTTAAGGAAACTCCACCCAGAAGCCTCAATCTACACTGCTGAGGCTACAGCTCTTGAAATGGCCCTAAATATAATAGATCAATCAACCAAGTCTACTTTCCTAATCCTTTCAGATTCTCTCTCTTGTCTGAAATCTTTAGAGCGCTCTGACACCTCCGACAATAGAATTTTGAAACTTTTAATTAAACTGCATTTTCTATATCAGTCTGGAAAAACTATTACAATAGCTTGGCTTCCAAGCCATGTAGGCATTGATGGCAACGAAGCCGTTGACCAATTTGCCAAAGTATCTCTAAAACTATCTGAAAACTTAAATAGTAAAAACCCTTTCTCTGACATGAAACCGAAAGTAAAAGAACACATCACATCCTCCTGGTCCCAAATTTGGAACCAACAAATACACAACAAACTCCATTACATTCAACCGAAACTTACGCCCTGGAAACCACTATTTCTCCTACGAAGAGAAAAAGTAATTTTTACCAGATTGAAGATAGGACACATGCACGCCACGCACAAACATTTACTTGAAGGAGAGGAAGCTCCCTTTTGCTTGGCGTGCAACACAAATTTCACAGTTCGGCACATCCTAACGAAATGTGTCGAATTTAATGATGTTCGTAAGAAATATTTTTAATGTAAAAATATCAAAACTCTTTTTGGCATTGTAGACCCTAGAAAAATTTTAAGTTTCGTAAAAGAAATTGGACTATTTAATAGAATATGAAAATATATAGTTATCGTTATCGGTGTATATATATATATATATATATACACTGAAATTAATATTGTATATACAAATGTAAATAAATCTTTTCCATATTTACAAAAAATTTAATAAATGTCTGTCCTTCTTTTTAGCATAATAAAAATAGTGTGACCGTGTGCGGTTGCGATCTCCGAAAGACTTTTACTAAAAACACGTCTGATTTTGTTGCGATGAAACCTGTTGGTGCTCAAATGACCAAAATTGTGTCGATTGTGCCGTAAAATATCTACTCAATCAATACTTTACTAAAACAAACTTACTACTTCTCTTTGCTGAAAAAAGCGATCTGTATGGGTGGTTGGCGGGTGCTCTGGTGGGGTTTGCTTCTTCTTTCCTATCAAACATCTATCGTCCTTATCTCCCCTCCTTCTTTTTTGTGTTTGTTACTCTCTTGTAACACCTCTTATCTTCAGGCGCTCATATGACCTTATGCAGTTGCGAGCGCCGTAAAAACCTCTACTAAAACTAAAACCTTACTAAAACAAAATCACTACTTCTCTTTGCTCAAACAAGCTTTCTGTGTCTCCCCAGTATGTCTACCTCCATGTTGCTGAGTGCGGAGGACTTGCTTTCTGGCCAGGTCAACTCCCAGAACCAGGTGTGGATCAAGCCAGGGAGGACTTTCGCCGTGCCCATCAGTATACCGGAGGAGAACGCTGCCTTGGAGTGGGAGTTCTCCAGCCACCCCAAGGTGATTTAAGCTTGCGTTATGTTTGGTGGCGGAGCGGTTAGTGCCCTCTTCTCCAAAGCGGAAAGTCCAGGTTTGAGCACCGGTTCGGACACAGATTTTTTTTCGTCCCCTCCTGTCCACCCAGCAGTAATGGGTACCTGACTTAGAGTTGTGGAAGTAAAGGCGGCGTGGAAAGGAACTGGCCACCCTACCACAATATGCCGAGCCGACAGCCCTGGAAGTTGTCTCACTAACAAGGCAATCCCCAATGTACAGATTGGATGCGGGAACAACTTTACTTTACTTTATATCCTCACCGTCATTCTACAAGCTCTTAGGTCTTTTTTTTTCAAAGTTTTGAACAAGCTCCTATGTCATTTCTTTTTAAGTTTTGAGAAATTAACCCTTTCATGACACCGGGTCAGGTTTTGCTTCACCACGCACAGTTTTGGACCCCCAGGGATGAAGAGTAATGCTAGATTTAGAGGTCAGTTGCCTATAATTAGAGCTGGTTTGTAAATACTACCATCTCTAAAAGGAAAATATGTTTCTGTACAGAAAAAATAAAGCCGAGTGTGAAATCTGCGATTAGTTTTATGAAATGCATCTAATACAAGCAGTATGCAGAATATAACTAAAGACGGACAGCTTTTGTCATCATGGTCCTCGCGCTTCACAGATCATGACGAACACTGCAACATCTTGGCTCCTTAGCCATAAAAGAAAAAAGGACGAATGGCGTATGTCGTATAGGTCACGAAAGGGTTAAAGAACAAGAGAGTACCCTAATCAGAACCATGACTTGAGCACTCATTTTTTAAACTAAAAGCTAGGAAGGAAAGGAGATGAAACATTGGTCCTGACAGGTAGAGTTGGAGTAGCCTGTCTTCCAAATGATCTTGGTAGATGGGAGTCAAACCCATATCTTTACTGTTGCAAATCCCAGAGTCTATTCACTTGGCCAACGACACTGCAGTGTGAAATCCAGATTGTAGGTATTGATTGTTTTTATATACTAGAATGTTACAGAATACTTAATTCTTCTTAAAACTCACAAAAAGACGTCTTGATTGTAATTAATAGTTGTAAAGCCTATGTATGCACTATATAAATGCAATTGTGTTTATTATTATTATTATTATTATAAAATTATTATTATTTTTATTATTATTACTATTATTGCTATTATTATTATTATTATTATAACTAGTTGGTGTCGTGCTCTAATCATGTGACTGTTTTCTTGTAAACGTTTCTCACGTGGAATGTGAAAATTATTTCCTTGGTTCTCCGTTCCCTGCCTCGTCCACAGGACATTGTGTTCACGGTGAACTACAAAGAGGACGACTCTGTGGCCCTGTCCGAGGCTGAGGAGATCGTGGCTCCGTGCAAGTGCGACTCTCACAAGCAGACGGTGCACGGGGAGCTCACCACCAAGAAGTCTGGAATCTACACTCTCATTTTTGACAACACATACTCAAGGTTAGATTTTTTTTACTCTTTCAGTATGCAAGGGATTCCCCAATTTTACACACCCAATTTGAGGCAGCAAAGGCTTTTTCCTTTTATGTTTGTTTTAGTAAGGTTTTACGACGCTTGCAACTGCATAAGGTCATATGAGCGCCAAGGGGTGGATGTCAACAGAGAAGTCCAAACAGGGAATCAGGCTTACTCTGTTCACCTCTCTAGCCTCAACAGCACAGTCTGACAACATCTGCTGCAACTATCAAGGCACCCTGGAAATAGCAGTACACAAGAGAGTGAAAAACATGCAAAAGAAGTAGAGGGAAAATGACGATAGTATGGATGAGGAAAGAAAAAGCAGTATTTCCTCCTATGTTGTTTCTGCACAGTATAAGCATGACATTGATAAATCAGCCCATTTATTATTTTACCTAAAAGGGGCTATAATTTAGTCTAGTATTGAGATGGATTTGTTTGTGTGAGCACTGACACTTTTCATAATTGGACAGAGAATCACAATATGGGTAAAATTAGGTTATTAATTTGCACAGGAACAGCTGTAGATCTTGGGATTTATGAACCCTGTACCGCAAAACATCACTTAGGTAACGATCCGATGAAACACGGAACCAAAAATGCCACTTAAGTGGTGATCCAAAATCATTTTCGTCCACACATCTGGGATTCTTTTCAAAGGGATGTGATGAAAGGGTGAAACAGATTGATTCTAAAAATCTGAAATTACTTAACTGTTTGATTTCAGTAAAATCCACGTAAAAAATGTGTTTTTAAATGAATCTTAAGGGCGTTGTGTCAAAACATTAAAATTTGATGTGAAATTGCGTGTTGTGCAGAAAAATGCCAATTTATTCAATTTCATTATTTTAACAAGTGGCTGATTTCACCATGATGCCTCACACATGTTTTCTTGTCCTACAAAAGGGAAATAGCACAATTGTGGCATTGAGCTAAGAGCTAAGATCATGATATGTTTTCTTGTCATACAATAGGGAAATCGCAGTATTGTGGCATTGAGCTAAGATCATGATATGTTTCCTTGTCCCACAAAAGGAAACTACGACTCTTGTGACATTGAGATAACAACACGACATCATTCCTTGTCATACAGAAGGAAAAAGTTTGAATGTGGCTTTGAGCTAAGTCATGACTTGTTTTTGTTTCTTTGTCATGCGAAAGGATAAAAGTACTAATGTGTTCTTTGTTATTGCCATTTTTCGAACAGACTGACATCGAAAAAAGTGCATTACTCTCTGAGCTACAAGAAGTCCTCATCCTGACCTGACCCCGCTATGGATTATGTTGCCAGTACACAGACATCCGTGGACTTTCAATTTGTGATCCCGATCACAGGGATTGGTCGATGACTCACCATAGAAGATCTGGTTGTTTGGATGTTCAAGAATGTTTTCAGCTCCCTGACGGTCACAAAGAAATGTTGTGTTGAATGCTTTTGGGTGGTGTTATGCTCTGACTGTGTAATTTTTTCATTCGGGGGAAAATAAAGCCGAGTGTGAAATTTGCGATTAGTTTTATGAAATGCATCTAATAGAAGCAGTATGCAGAATATAACCTAAGACGAACAGATAATTTTTTAGCAGGTGAAATAAATAAAAAGATTTTTAAAACACAAAACGTCTTGATCTTAAATGATAATGAGAGAAGTCTACAACCTTAACCCACAGTACTTTTATACTCTTTATAGTTCTTGTTGACTTTAAAGTTTATTGAGGTCCTGCAGATCGATTTCGGCAACGGTTTTAGAATAAAAGAGAGCTGACCTGCTTCTTCCAGTTACATGGTCAGAGCATAACTCTATCGATATATTATATATAAGTTGTTAACCAGCTGTTCAGATTTACTAAGCCCATAATTTTGAAAAACTTTTTTTATTGCAGTTTCTTTATCTGTGGTATTGGTTGCATATTTTGTCAAAATTTAGATTCTAAATGTAAACAGTTGCAAGCGCCGTAAAACTCTTACTGAACTAAGATTCTAAATGTTGAAAAAGCAAGAGAAGATACATAATGTTAAAAGATTGAAACAGTTTTTTTCTCTTTCCTGAAAAATTGTGCTTTCTGGGCTTTGAACAGCTGCTAACGATATATTGCTTTTTGTACTGTCTCTTGATGCTTATGTAAGATGTGGTCGTATCTGCTCACTGTATTTTCTTTTATTTATAATTTTGATATACTATGTATTTAAAGTGAATTTCTATTTATTTGCATAAATATTGTTTGTTTTAATGTTTTTTTAATGCAGAGCGTTTTTGGTTGTTGGCGCAGGTTCTTATTTCAAGGTTGATGTTATCTTGTCAGATTGGTCTGTTCTTTTTTTTCTTTATTTTTATACCTTCGGAAGATGCATACTTGATTTAATTTTAAGCTGCTAGCATTTTTACATTTCTCTAAGTGGCTCTTAATCTTAGCTTGATCAAACCCCAAGAGCTCAGTGAGTCAGTCCCAGGGGTGTCGATGGAGGTCAAGACACTCACTCTGTGTGTGTGTGTGTGTGTCTGTGTTTGTATGTGTGTGTGTGTGTGTGTACCCCTGTTCAGTTCACCCCACTCGAAGGGTTTGATGAATGCACATCAAGGTTAAGAAGCACTGACTTTGCTCATTTTTATTTTCTATATGCCGGAGAGGCCAGAATGTGGGTGGCCAGTGAATGCTACTCAAAGGGAAGTTGAGCGGAGATGAGTGCCGATAACGACAACACATGAAGGGACTGCCGGTATTGTGGGGGTAGGTAGTGGGGACCTGGCTCTGTAATCTGCTCCCTCTACTCAGCCATAAGCTGACAAAACGCTTTTTTTCATTTTTGGCGCCAACTTTTTTAAATTTGCTAAATCAGTATGCCTGATGAGCTGCCCTACTTGTGTGAAAAAAGGTCTAAGTGAAATTATGACTAGTTTGTGAATAAGTTTATAAGAATTCAAATTTCGGAAGAATGCCATTTTTAAATGGTTATGCTGGCCAAAAGCCTCTTTATCTCAAAACAGCGGAGTAGTTTTAACAATGCGTTTGTCAGCTTACGGCAGTACATCTGTTTAGTGTTATCATTTTCCGAATGGACATTTTCATGTAAAGCATTATTATTGTCCATAGTGGGACATTCCATGGAATTTGAAACTGCAGTGATACAAGAAACACAGGGAAATTTGGGTTACAATGGCACACATTTGTACATACATAAATCACTAGATGCATTCTCTAATACTCAAATATATATCCAAAGAATACTAAACACACGATATTAGATTACTGTAAACTTTTTAACACCATTGCTGTTTGCCTGAAGCTGTCCTATGTGAGGCTTCATGTAGTAAAGTATTACAGAAGGTTTAAGTATACCCTACTTACTTTTAATACCTTAAACTACAACGTCTTAAGATGGGCTGAAAGTTGTCTTAGGTAAGGGACTTTTTATCAGGAGGTCCTACGGGGATAACTGTTTCCTTTTTTAGCCACAGACTGGATGAGGTCATGATGTGTGACTTGAGAAGAAAATGTTGTCTTTATTTGTTTTCAATTTGGTTATGCTTCTGTACACATTTGATTTATTTAACTTATATGTAGGTATCTAAGCTTCTTTCTCTGTAAGAATGAACTGGCAGCTATGAATGCCTTTGTATAATTTTTCCGGTTGATGAAAAGTAGGGGTCTTACAAGTATAAATATCAAGAACTTTGGAGGAACTGTATTTCTTTGTCAGAAAACATCGCTCATAACAAAATTGAAAGGAAAGGCTAACTGTGCAATGTGTTTGTAACATCATGTGATCATTTCACGTTCACTTTCACCTATTCCGTAGATTGGTTGCCCCTTTGGGTACCAACTGTAGATTTTACAACCTGTCTCTTCCACTCCTATCAGTTCTCAGCTTTACATAGTAAGATGTTCCAGTCACAGCCAGTCCACTCTTTGATGTCATCTTCCCGTCATGTCACCCCCCCCCCCCCCCCCCCACCACCAGAGCAGTGCTACTGACTGGAGTTGTCTTTAGGCCATTCTCAAATTTCAAAGGGGGTATATTAACGTAAAATTGTAAATGGGCTGATTTATCAATGTATGCTCATACTGTGCCAAAACAACATAAGGGGAACTGCTGCTTTTTCTTTCCTCATCTATACTATAGTCATTTTTCTTTACTTCTTTTGTATGTTTTTCACTCTCCTGTGCGCTGCTTTTTCTGGGGTGCCTTGATAGTCGAAGCAGATTTTATGCTGTTGAGTCTAGAGAGGTGAACAAAGTAACCCTCATTCCCTGTTTGGACTTTTCTGTTGATGTCCTCCCCTTGGCGCTCATATGACCTTATGCAGTTGTGAGTGTCTTAAAACCTTATTAAAACTAAACTAAACATCATGTTGCTCATGTTGTTGATTTCTGAATGCAAGAAATGTTTTCTCGTTTTCTCTCTCTGAAACTGTTATTTTTAGTGACTCTCAACTGCGGATGGGAGAACTGTTGTAAATAAAATGAAGTGAATGGCGAATGATGAAGTTGGAGCTCAACGGGACCGGAGACTTTGATGTGAACATATGGATTTTTAAAAAAAAGAATTTATGAGCAAATTTGGTGTGAGGAAGCTATTCCCAATAGTTTTTTTGACGTTATTGTCCCCCTCTGCCTGCATATTACTGCCTGGATTTATGGTGAAAAATAAAGCCTCCCATTTTTTACTGGAGTTTCCAGAAAAAGGAGAATTGTGTGCATAATTTAGGGCTGCATATTATTTTTAACCGTCTTCTTGACAGGTTAAATTGTTTCCATCTTTTTTTCCCTGTGTTTTCACTTTTCTGTATATTCCTAATGCCGGTGCGGTTTTATTTTACTCAAGTGAATTAGATTTTTTGATTGAAAAGCCTGAGCTTCTTGTTGTCTTTGTGTTTTATAATCTGAGCTGGTGTGGGTATTCCCAGGATTTTAAAAAAAATGAAAACCAGGATTTGAAACAACCAGAGAAAAGAGTAATGCAAATTTTACATGTACTTTTATAATTTACATACAAGTATGTGATATTCCATTGTTGTACTTTGTTCTGACTTGGGAGCTCAGCAACTCTTTTTTTTTCTTCGAAGTGTATACAGACCCGGTAACCGGGTACAAAGTCACAAAGTATACAGACCCGGTAGGGGAACTCTTTTGTGATTTCGGAGGGTTTCAGCGCCCAGACCCGGTAGTGTGTGTGTGTGTGTGTCTGTGTGTGTGTGTGTGAGTTAAAGAGAGAGAGAGAGAGAGAGAGAGCGCAGGGGGAAGTGCTAGCAAAATGTATATAATATGACATGTCTGCCAGTTGGCAGGAAGGAATGAAAGACAGAGAGACAAACAAAGAAAAAAAGAATGCGAGCGATACAGAGAGAGAGAGAGAGAGAGAGAGACTGCTCGATTGAAATTATGACATTGTTCTTTTCTTCAAATTGTGATTCCTCTAACTCCAAAACAGGGGAAAAACGATCGTTCATCGAAAAGACATCCGCAATCTTCATTTAGTTTTAGATCTAGAATCTAGATCTATATCTACAGTCTAGATCTAGGCTAGCCTCGAAACTAGATCAATGATTTATATCTGTCTGTCTAGATCTAGACCTAGGCCATAGATCTAGAAGAACCTAGTTCTACCCTGAGCCAAGAAGGTGCTGAAAGTTTCCGAAATCACAAAAGAGTTCCCCTACCGGGTCTGTATACTTTGTGACTTTATTCCCGGTTACCGGGTCTGTATACACTCCCTTTTTTCTTTTGGTTTTTTTGTTGCTGTGTTTGATGAACAGTTGTGCAGGTCTTTGTGTGGTTGCCTTTGAATGGAGGATAGGGGTTCTAGACGTGGTTTGCCCCTTCTTCTTCTTCTCATCAACCCTCATGTCTTGGGGAACACAGGTTTCCTTTTCCAGCCACAGCTTGAGCAATACGTGGTGATCTCAACTCCTGTTGTGCCTGAATATTCTTTTTGTAATTTTTAAATGGGAAACATGAACCAAAGTATGGATTAGTTAGTTCACTGTAGTGGAATTAATTGACACTTTGCCGTTGGGGTGAGAAGATGTGACGCAATTCCCATGTCAGGAGGTTGTTATTTTTTCCTGAAGTACAGTCAAAACTGTCTGGGATGGCGATTCTATTATTGAGGAGAAAAATTGTTATCTAAAAACGGTGTCATTGTCATGTAAAAAATACTCAAGGGAGGAATGGGAATGGCCGCCATTTGTTTCATGTGTGATTGTCTCATACAGGTGGCCGTTAGAGCAAGTTCAACTGTATCCCTGTCTGCCCTGTTGGCCCTGATGAGCAGGGTCGCTGCCTTCTAAATGATCTAAAATGTGTCCATAGGGGCATAAAATACCTGCAATTACAACTATATATGGATAAATTCACACATCGTTTGTTATTACAGTGGAACTCGGATTCAACGAGGTCGCCAGGCCTGATCAAAAATGTCGTTGAATCCGAGTCTTCGTTACAGCAAACACGAGGTTTTGTGTAGATAATTACAGGCACTGAGCAAGTAATGTATAAAGAGAAGTCACAAGTAATGCCTGAAATGTCTGCATATTATGAGTTGTGTAAAGAAAAAAAGACTGATTCGTTCAAATGCACACGACTGTGTCATCTCGATGGTTCACCCAAAAGTTGTGTTGCTGTGTAGAGCCTAGCATACGGCAACTTTAGATTCCATAGACCAGTGTACAATTCATTACGTAGATTTACGTCAAGACTAGCTTATTGTAATAATGAGCAGTTGCCGAGGGGAAAAAAAGACTGTGATGCGTTTGTATCTGCGACGTCAACGCCTGGACCGCTAGTGTCCCCCCCCTCCCCGATGTGCACACAGTCACACATGTGCAGGCCGCCCATCCGACCCTGACACACGCCAGAGTAGACACGTGCACGTGCCAACAACGCATGTGTTGATATTAAAGAAGACTGCTGATTGGTCACATGCA